GGCCGAGACATAGTAATTGCACAAAAACTAGTGGCTTGGACAGGTACTCTAGCACCTAGTGATGGTTGTTGGGGAGGAAGCTAGTATGCACTATACACACCCACACACATATAAAGACATACATGAACAATTACATAGATATACATAACATACACGTCTGCACTCACACGTGGGAATATCAAGGATGAGCATCAAACAGGTACAAATCCATGAAACCCCATTCAACCGTATAGCCAGTAGCAGAAAGCAAAGTTAGACTGAGGAACCAAAAAAGGTTACGATGGCAACCTCTGATCGACAGTGGTAGGTCTGGGACTCGCTGACTGAGATTCCTCATTTACCAACCACCAGAAGCTGGTACAGACTAACTGTTCCAATGTAATTAATGTCAATATCACGTGACTGACGTCGCATCAGATGAATTAGTCACGTTAAACTTTAGTCTGAAAATGGACAATTATGTTTATGTCGTTTAGTAAACACAACTAATTATGAATGTGAATGCAGGAGCGTAGACAGATTTGGCATGGCTCAGACTTTCTATTGGGTAGTTTTCGAACTAATACACGCGCTAATTGTACCAACTATATACTATCAATGCCATACATGGACAGTCCTAGAAAAATATAAATAAATAATTACAGCATGTGAGATTATTCGTATAAGAATGCGGCGTTGAAAAAAATATTATTTCAGATAAATTGTTTTTATTTACCATTCAGACCACAATAAGAATTCTTATTATTCTTATTGTGAACCTAAACAAGGCTTAAGCTCCCTTTAATCCCTAGAGGATAATAAGTGAGATGAGCTCCCCCCCCCCGGCCCACCTCCTCTCTTTGTGGCGGCACCCGTAGGGGTGGGTGGGTGAGTTGGGGGGGGGGGGAAGTACATTTGGCCATGATATCAATAAAGCTTATGGGGCAAAGGAATTGGGGTGGGGTGGTGGGAGGGTCCACACGATTGCAAAGTGAATGTTCAACTGTACGGGTACTGTACAGGGATCTGCAATTCGTATATGGGACGATTAGTGTTGGCTCATCTGACAACTGCCTTATGCCTTTTTACTTTACATGTGCAAGCTTCAACATTTTGCTGGGACTGACAAATGTTTCACTAATTTTCACATGGGACAGTGATGGACAGTTTTTATTATTACCGTTGGCCCAGGAACGGAGCAGTTGTTGGGCGATCAGTCTTCAGTTTTTTTGGAATCTCGACTAACGACTTCGAAAATATTCACGGCCAACTACCTCATTTTACTACGCTTATGAGATGTATACGTTTAACTTGAATCAGTGAATGGCAACAAGCTAATCTGTGTAACCTACAAGTCAGGTTTGACATGTCGCTGACTGAAATGCTAATTACACATCTAACAATAAGACAGTCGTTGTTGTTCTGTCCATAATGTCAACCAGGACTCGCTCACTAAGGTTTCCTCCTGTAGGACAATGACTGTGCCAGGCATGAGGACATTAACACTCTCCAGCCGCTGAAACACAGGAAGGTCGTCGATGCAGCAGAAGTGGTAGAATATCTGCGTGATCTCCAACACGGAGTTGCCACTTTCTTGTTTCTTGGAGTTTTTCTCGAACAAAGCTGTGATTGTTTCTTCTGTTTTGTTAATTTCTTACAAGCCTGGTGTGCGAAAAGAGGTAATCAATTCATTTTATTAACTTTAAGAAATATTTATTTACAATATGTTAAAATCCAGTGGTCAGTGCACAACGACAACACCACTCTCTCACTCAACAAATAACTTATAAACAAATAATGAGTTTTAATATATATATTAATTAACGGTTAGCATTGCAGCTCTGCGTTAGCAACGGATGGTGTAGAACTAAACTAGGATTGTTTGTTCTGCTTTGGTAATTTCTCCCCAGTGAGTCTGCTAAAAAGGTAATTCATTCATTCAATTTCAATTCATTCATTCCTTGTATTGTTATGTCTTAGTGTGCGGTTGTTATGTAACATTCGTTATTGTCATCAGGGCTCGCAGTCTATTCCTCTATTCTGTTCTGTCCTGTAAAATCCCTTTTATATGGATAGAATAAAGGCCAGTACTTTGGCTTCTGTCATCAACTTTCCTCTTAGGTTTCTCTTGCACGTCCTTGATTCGTAGTCCTTCTGTTTCCCATTTTCGTGTCTTTTTTTGTGTATCGTTCTCTGTCTGTTCTCATAATGTGTCCATTATATCATCTTCTCATCTTATAACTGTTGATACTAGTGGCAATTAGTTACGTTTATTTACTTTACGATGGTTGGTTTTTGATAGATAACCAATGATTTCTATATGTTGAGGTCCAGTTTTCAGTGCAGAAACGGTATTGACAGTATTGTGGAATAAGATTCGGCTCTACTGGCAAATCCGGACGAAGAATAAACAGACTTGGACGACTTAGTCAGAGTTATCTCCCGTCGCCGCACTCCAAACAGTGATCGGAAAAGCCACAACGAAACAAAGAAGACAGTCACGTCGACATCAGGGCTGCCAATGCTTGGTTGTTTCCCCCAGATGTGGGGTTTTTTTTCGACGCTGCAGGACAATTCTGGGTTGTTGTTTTTTTTGGGTGTGTTTTGTTTGTTCGTGTTTGCCGATTTGTATGCTTTAATGATCGATAAATTTGCGTGGTTAGGGGGGTAGGGGTTAGGGTTAGGGAGTAGGATTAGGATTAGGGTTAGCGGTAGGGTTAGGATTAGCGTTAGATTTGACAATTTTGACGCCGGAGTTTTCCTATAATCGCGCACAGTCCCTACACACACACAAACAATCGAGGGCCTCTGGATGCTGGTCACACGCCACAATTCGCCAACGATTGGGGGCACCAGCCGCACGCTATTGGCGTCATATTTGGCAGAGTTTCAGTGGCGCCACTCCCCACAAACATCATAGTGTTGGCCAGTATTTCGAAATCCTACGTCAAAATTTTCACATCTAACCCTAACCCTACCCCCAACCCTACCCCTATCCCTAACCCTACCCCTAACTCTAATCAAACAACCGCATGATGATGACTACACAACCATTCACAGTGCCTCACGCAACCGTACGCAACTGTGCACGCAGCCATATGATGATGCCACGATGTCTCACGCAACCGTACGCAGCCCTACACGCAACCGCAGGATGATAGGTAAGTGTGTCGTTTGTTTCGTTTGTTTTCCGATTACTGTTCGGAGTGCGGCGACGGGAGATAACTCTGACTAAGTCGTCCAAGTCTGTTTATTCTTCGTCCGGATTTGCCAGTAGAGCCTAAGATTCTTTAAACAGATTCTAGTTTTAACTAAGACTGATGGCTGCTGAAGATGGTTTTAGAGTGTTTATGTGAATTCTCTCGAGTACTGTGATATCCATTCTTAACTCTTTGATCTGCATTTTAATTAGTAAATACAGTAAAACTTTACTAACACTAATTCTAAGGGACCAAAAAGAAAATTCATATTAAAAAAAAAATGTTTGCTAACCAGGGACTAATATTATTAATACATCTGTGCTAGGACTAACATTTTGTTTATATTAACTCTTTGAGTCCCAAGGAACGCATCATACGTTCATAGATTCCTACCTAGAAACCCAATGAACGCAAGATGCACCGATTTTACATCTCTTTTGACTACCCCTTGGGCCTGTGATGCTAAACCCCCTGGGACTCAAAGAGTTAACTGAGTGTACTTCATAAGCAAGTTCGTGTTAGTGAACTTTTACAGTAGTAGTTAATCACTGACAACACAAGAAGCGACAGGGTTACAAATACCAGTATTGGAGAGACAGTTGGAATTAAATAGTGTCTGAATTATATTGACAAAGAATGAGATGGTTTGGCCGTCTGATGAGAATGCAGCCAGACCAAAGTGCATATGAGACATTCTACAACAGAACATCTGGGAGGAAGATCAAGAAAGAGATGGATAAAGGGTTAGACTGAAAGTCCATCACCGAAGCCACTTGAGAAGTGCAAGACAAATACAGTAAACCAGATGCCACTGGGCGACAATCTGGTATCAGTTAGATGAGAAAAGGAGAAAAAGAAGTAAATCTACATTTTAATCCCCCCCCCCCCCCCCCCCCCCCAACCAAAAAAAAAACAGACTAAATCATTTCAGTTTCATTTAATAAAAATGGATAATATTAAAATATATAATGATAACATAAACTTATGTACTGCTGTAATATCTAATGTTAGTGTTGCAATTATGGAGAGGGGCAAAGGGTGTGCAGCTGGTGAACCGCTTGATGATGATGGTAATAATATTCATGATGATGGTAATAATGTAACATTATTGATTATAAAATAGTTTAGGTCAGCAGTCAATCAATTTAATACATGCTGTTGTACTTTAATTGGTCTTGCCTGAAACACAGATACTGATTTGTGTTATGACAGTTATTTACTTCTTGAAAATTCTTAGCTCCCGAGGTTCATTGCCGCAGATATCCGGGGTCTCCATTCATCCATGTGATAGGCATTCTCTTGCCAGTTGGTGGTTTTTGATTTTACTTAATCGGGTGCTATCTCTAGAATAAAGGTTGGTTGTACTGGATTTCTGTCTCTGGTTGTATATTCTCTCAGACTGCTGTTTGTCCATCGCTTGATGATGTTCTCCCACTTGTATTCATGCCCACCTCTTGCTCTTCTCCTGTCTTCAGCTACAACACCTAAATTATAATGCTCATACTTAAACATGCAGAACTAACAGTGGGAATTCCCACACATTCCTAGCAACATTGGGGTAACACTGGTGACCTTTAACAGATATCATTTGTGAATACATAGCCTGAGTTTTTTTTTTTTTTTAATGCTCTACTTATTTGACATTTTGAAAGCTGAGGTAGCACTGTGGCTAGATAATTGCCTTCTGGCTTGAAGTCTTTGGTTTAAACCTACACTGGGTGGATTTTTTTTATTTATTCCAAACAGCTTTTTCTTCCGCTAGCTCTGGGACTAAAGTGGTAACAATTGTCATTGCAGACGTGACCTGTGCCTGAGCAGAATATGGGTTCTACCCAAGAGGTCAACATGGGGGAGGCAGATTCATTTATTTCTCTGACAGATTTGTTCATTCTGTCACTGGCCGGTGGTTTCGCTGTCTACTGGTTCATTTTCAGAAACAGGAAGCAAGACACACCCACCTTTAAAAAGCTGACAGTTGCGTAAGTTTGCTGTTTTTTATTTTAAATTTCAATCTCACCTACCCTCCCCCCAGATTTCCATTCTGTAGAATTAACGTGTGAGTCGTGGACTATCTCACAGTTCTTAAAACAGAAAATGGGGGCTTTTTAACTGAAATGCTATAAAAAGATTATCAGAATACCATGGACAAAGAAGAAAAAAAAACACTGACATTTTAAAAGATCTGAACAACATTGAAAATTGGCTAATGAACAAAATTTTGTCTCGGAAGCTGAAAAATGTGGTCATATCAAGCGCCATGGGGGATTGGTACCAGGAAGGAGGATCAGGGTCGGACCAACATAAAGATGGTTATAGAATGTAAGTGACTCCTTGAATATAAAAGTAGACGAGATAGGAGAGCTGGCGAGAGACCTAGTTTTTTTCAGGCAGGCCATGGTGAGAGCGATGTTCTGCTAAGAAACTGCTACGTAAGCATGAGGATTAACATCTCTAGGATGAGAATCAAGCAGCTTCATATCTTGGACACTTTATTTACTCGTAAAGCTATAAAGCACAGCATGATAACGAAGTAGGGTGTAGTCCACTGTGGGTGGTTTGTGTTTGTTGGTGCAGCTCTCTGTTTTGTTTTGTCTTTAATTTTGACCCTAGTCTTTCTTAGAGTGTTGGCTAAGTCAATACGAACGCTTTGTAATGTCGGGATGCCGGGTTCGATCCCAGCTGCGGGCCATGCGCCTTACGTTGGTTTCGACAGTGGTATCATGGTGCGGACCACCCAGAAAGCAATAGCAAACTACTGGACGTAAATTTGCCTAGAGAAACCCCACAACAGCCAGGGTCTGCTGCGGTTGGTTCTGCAACGTCCTGTAAAGGATACGCAACTAACCTTTCTTAGAGGTTAGAGGCGGGCGTGCATCTAAAACATGCTGCTCCCCATCAGCTTTCGAGTTACCATTGTACTTGTCAGTGGAGAGTTGTGATGATGTAGAGGTTGGAGTGTATGAGTGCCGTCTCCTTGGTCATGTGTTTGAATCCCCTCTAGGAACTCAGACACAGGGTCAACATGATGGCAGACAGTTGTGCAAACGACAACTGTTTTTGTGAAGTAAAGTGTGCCAAATCTCATTGTATTTACCAGTTTAAATGCATCTGTAATGCTGCATATGTGGGCAGAACTGATCGACAACAGGAGAATCGGGTTGCGGAGCAAATCACACTATGTGTGGTGCCAAAAGCTGTGCAAAACACTAACAACAGCTCAATAACAATGAAACAGGTGACTGGTTTTTAAACAAAAATCCCCCATCAGCCAATGCGTGTCATGTGTCATATTTTTGACTCTAGGCATATTGTAAAACAAGGAAGTTGCATTTCAAATTGTTTACACTTTGGCCAGCCGTAGATTATTGAGATTTGTGGAAGCAACGGTGATAAAATGAGGTTAGTTGCATATCCTTTACAGGACATTGCAGAACCAACCCCAACAGCCCCTGGCTGTTGTGTAGTTTTTCTAGACAAATTTACGTCCAGTAGTTTGCCACTGCTTTCTGGACGGTCGGCTTTCTTGATACCACTTTCAAACCCAACGCAAAGCACATGGCCCACAGCTGGGATCAAACCCGGTATCACGGCATTACGAAGCGTTCGCATCGACTTAGCCACAGAGCCGACGGTGATATACTAGTTTAGGTAATTTTGTGTTTCAGTCAGAAGAATTCATTTATTTGCTTTATTTTAATCAGTTGTTGCTATAGTATGTACCTGACGAGATACAGTGAAATATGCCAGGTAATAAATTGTTCAACCAATTGTTTGTGTCTTCTTTGTGTAAATTCACAGTGGAAAAACATTGCTTTCAACTGGGCTAGTGGATAATGACGAATTTCTGACACTAATACAGTTGTATGACATGAGAGTAAAGCATGGGGAAACACGTCCATGCCATCTTTGAGGCAGAAATAAAAGATATTATAACGAGCTCCTTTTTTTCTGTCGGGGGCCCCATTCTGTACCAGGGGGAGGACCCACTGCCTCTCTGACGAGCGTGTCGTACAAGGCAACTAATCAGGGGAATCTTCTTTGAAGTCGTTGTTCATCTCTGTTTGAGAGGTGAGGAACCAACAGTCTGTTTATAAATAAGCCAGATCTGTGAAACTGATGTGCCCAGAAAACTCAAGTTCTGGAACAAGACTGAATCCCAGAAGTGGATGAGCAATTAGAACTTTCAGCCAGTGAACATGAAGAAGAAGAAACCCTGGTACTTGAGAATCATGAAATTATTAAGCGCATTCACTAACCGTTAAGCCACAGAGTAACGCATCATTACTTTGTTACAACTGATGCTGTTATGCAGCATTCTATTGTTTGGTACAAAATGTAACTTTCTGCTGCGAAGTTAGTTTTTAAAAATGTGTGATATTGCCATTCCCCCCCCCCCCCCCCCCCCTCTAAATCCTTTGCTTGAGTTTTTATGTTCTCAAGGGAATGTTCATTTTGTTGTTGTTAAAATTACCTCTTGTCTTCAACAGACCAGTGTTGGAGAGGTCAGAATCCAGTGATGCCACTTTCATTACCAAAATGAAGAATACAGTAAGTGAATAAATAACTGGTCACTTTAAAAAAAAAAAAGTGTTTGTCACTAATTTCTGACTGTTTTTCTTTTCTTCTACATTCGTCCTTAAAAGAGCGGTTGGTGTGTTGTGTTGTTGTTTTGTGCTGTTGTTTACAACTAGGTGCAATATCTGAGCCTTAGGAACCAGCATATGAGATTTCAGTACATAATTAGTTGTCTTTTGTGAGGTGCTTTTTGGGAGGCAGTTGGTCCCCCTCGAAATGGAGCCTCAGAACCTGCGCGGGAATTTAGTAAACTATGTCTGTAATGAAGAACTCCTAACATTGTCTGTAATAAACAGATCCAGACATTGTCTGGAATGAATAGATCCTGTTTAAGAGAAGGCTCTTTGCTGTGCGCTCAGCTGTAAACAATGGCATATGTATTGTCATGTTATCTTTAGGACATTGACTTGTGTAACTGCCGACTGACACTGACATCCAGAAGTGTGCTAGACAACTGGGTTGTCATTCATGTTTCAAGGAGCAGAACAAACCTGTGAACAATTCAGTTTTCTCTGTCAAAATTTTCCCTTTACATTTCAGAATCGAAATGTTGTGGTGTTCTATGGGTCACAGACTGGGACTGCGGAGGAGTTTGCCACTCGCTTGGCTAAGGATGCCTCCAGATATGGGATGAAGGGCCTGGTGGCGGACCCAGAGGAGTGTGATATGGTTTGTTAGCTGTGTTGTTAAACATTTGCTTTTCATTTGATGTGTGTTGCCACCCTAGTGTGGTGGCTAGACTGGTGGTTGGGGAAGGGGGCAAGAAAGTTGCGGGATTAGGGGGTGCCCCATCAGGTTATTTTGAAATTGCATCAGTACTTGTAAAAAAATATTGCTGCACTTTGATTATAAAAAAAAAAAAAAAAATTTTTTTTAACTATATTTATAAAACAAAAAGCCACTATTGTTTTTGTTTTCAAAGGGAATTTGTACATCTATCATTAAAAATCTAATTAATAGAATAACAACAGTTCTTGCCAGTAGTACTTGATTGATTTTTTTATCCATCTCGGGGAAGGGGGGGGGGGGCAGCTGAAAAGGATTAAAAACCACTAGGCTGGAAGCTTGCATGCTGGCTTAAATGTCTTTTTTTTTTTTTTAAATTGACTTTGGCTCTCAGGTTGACCCAGCGTAAAATAAGAACAGGTAATGTCCTGGGAAGTAAAGGTGGTTGGTGTGATGTTGACCACATGCCCCCCACTGAGCACAGATTGAGTTAAGCATCATATGCCCAACACACTTTTATATTATACTCTTCTATGTTATGTAAACAGAAAGATCACGTGATCAATTTGAAGTTACCATGGTAGTCAGGTGACTAGATTTTTTAATTTCCAGAGAATAGATATACAGCAACTCAGCTATGTGGTTTATGTATTTCAGCAAAAAAGAGTTAATTTTGTGCTTCACTAAATGTTGCTTTAACTCTGTAGTAATGCACCTGACAAGATACAGCGAAATGTGCCAGGCAATAAATTGTGCAATGTATTGTCTGTGTCTGCATTATTAAATTTTTTTTTTTTGGGTGGTCAATTATGTTTATTTTTTTTTTATTTGTTTACGCTATACTGGAGCTTTTCAGCTAAGCTTACTCAAGGGCCAAAATGTTTAAAATGGGGATTGTCACGGGTCAAAGGCTCAGCCACAGCATAAAAAGATCATTAATACAATACAAAAGGCATTGATCCGCGGGCTATTTGCTAGGCCTCTGCAGGTTAGATTTGGCTCCAGGTGTGACCCAACCACCTGCAACTTCGGAGACTGAGCATAACGAAAACTCTTGCAATACCTGTTCTTTCCAAAAATGTAATACAGTAAGCATCAACATTCTTTCAGAAATAAATAATTCAAATGCAATGCAGATTCGAACCAAAAACCTTCAGCCTGGCAGGAAAGTGTCTGATCATTATGCCAGCTTGGCTCCCTTGGTTCACTGTAGTATGATGTCTTCTTCTTCATGTTCATCAGCAGAAAATTCTGGTTGTTCATCCACTTCTGGACTTTAATCTTGTACCCCAACTTGAGTTTTGGGTGCACATCCATTTTACGTATCTGGACTGTGCATATTATGTATATGCAGACTGATGGTTCCTCATCTCTCAGATGCACTTTGACTTAAAAGGAAATATCCCTAATTAATATGACCATTTTCATTAAAAATGACTAAATGACTTTTGATCCTTGCATATTTACCTAATCTAATTGCCACTGGTATTACCAGCTATAAGACAAAGAAGGTAGCGATATGTTGGGTGCATCCTGAGAATACGTGAGCAGAGAATCCCCAAACAGTCACTGAAAGAGGAACAAATAGATTGAGGGAGCAATGAGATCCAAGAGAACCCTTAAAGTGAATGTTTTTGAGAGAGGCCAAATTGTGCTGGACTAGATTCCATCCATGGTTTGAAAGGAGTTGAGTCAAAAACTGACATCACAGCACTCAGGGCATTCCCATGCATGCTCCGTCTTCATCTTCAGCAGCCAGCGCAGAGTTCCAATTCTGATGGTACCGGTCACAATCTGGTTATATGTCTGTCTTGCCTTTCCTCTGAGTGTAGTGAGCCGGCCATAGACCCTCTTGTTACACCCAGGTGCCTCATTCTTTCTAGGACATAATAATCTTGTTTCTCTACTGATTTCGTTGCTTGTTCCCAAAAGGCCTTGACCACATCTGCTTTGTCCTGTATCAGTTCACTACCCAGTAGTGCGGATCCAGCCAATCTGTCTGCCTATTCATTACCCATTGATGCTGATATGATATGATATTGAAAGGAGTGCAGTCTCACTTGTGACATGTTAGTCAGGTCGGAGCTCGGCCGTAGGTCGAGGAGACCCTGTACATATTTTGATTTGCTGTGTTTGCAGGAAGACCTGGCCAAGCTGACTGACATCAGCAACAGCCTGGCAATCTTTTGTATGGCCACGTATGGGGAGGGAGACCCCACAGATAATGCCCAGGAATTCCACGAGTTCCTGACAAACGGGAGTGTAGACCTTACTGGGATCAAATATGCTGTGAGTATTGGATGAGAGGTGATTGTGGGGGAGGGGGGGGACACATAGAGTGTGATGTATTAAGATAGGAATATGTAAACATGGAAGGTGAATCTTCGCTTAGGAATAAGTGAACATGGAATGTAAATCTTCAGTTAAGAATAAGTGAACATGGAATGTAAATCTTCACTTAGGAATAAGTGAACATGGAATGTAAATCTTCAGTTAAGAATAAGTGAACATGGAATGTAAATCTTCACTTAGGAATAAGTGAACATGGAATGTAAATCTTCAGTTAAGAATAAGTGAACATGGAATGTAAATCTTCAGTTAAGAATAAGTGAACATGGAATGTGAATCTTTAGTTAGGGATCCCTTTAGTTAAGGATAAGTGAACATAGAATGTGAATCTTCAGTTTAAAATAAGTGAACATGGAAGGTGAATCTTTAGTTAGGGATAAGTAAACATAGAATGTGAATCTTCAGCTAGGAGTAAGTAAACATGGAAGGTAAATCTTTAGTTAGGGATAAGTGAACATAGAATGTGAATCTTCAGTTAAGAATAAGTGAACATATAAGGTGAATCTTTAGTTAGGAATCCCTCTAGTTAAGGATAAGTGAACATAGAATGTGAATCTTCAGTTTAAATAAGTGAACATGGAAGGTGAATCTTAAGTTAGGGATAAGTGAACATAGAATGTGAATCTTCAGTTAAGAATAAGTGAACATGGAAGGTGAATCTTTAGTTAGGGATAAGTGAACATAGAATGTAAATCTTCAGCCAAGAATAAGTGAAAGTGAAGTGGTAATCATTAACTGAGAATGAGGGAAGATGGAATATAAATCTTTAAATAGGATTAAGTGAATGTGGACTTGGCATGAGTTAGTTGAGGGCCTATGCTCCATTTGGTGATAAAAGGCAGAAGAAGAAGTAAAGATGGAGTGTAAATCTGCAACTAGGTATAAGGGAACATGGACTGTGAGTCTTGAACCTGGAATATGTGTGTTATATGTTAGTCTTACTGCAGAGGAATGAAACTCCAACTCTACAAGAGCATAATTTTGTCAGTTCTTCTTTATGGAGCGGAATGCTGGAGAATGACCAAAATGGATGCACATAAGCTGTCCACCTTCCACCACACATGTCTACGTAGAATTATCAAAATTTTCTGGCCAGATACAATCTCAAACACTAAACTACTTCAAGTCACAAACCAAGAAACTTTAGACAGTATGATTACCAAGAGAAGATGGAAGTGACTTGGCCACGTTATGAGAATGAATTCTGATATACCTGTCAAAACAGCTCTCACATGGACACCAGAGGGAAAGAGAAAACGGGCGCTCAAAAACAACATGGAGACGAACGATGGAAAGTGACCTGAGTGCAGCATCTTTGACATGGAAAACTGCACTGAAGATTGCACAGGACAGGGAAGCATGGAAAGTCCTCTGTGAAGCCTCATGTGCCACTAGGCATAACGAGAACTGATGATGATATGTTAGTCTTAAAGTATGAATAAGTGAACACAAAATGTGAATGTGTGAAAAGAAACAGGTATTACCAAAATATAGAATATTTCAAATTTTTTAAAACACTATTATGAAATATGGCTCCTTGTTACGGATTATAAAGTGCTGCCGTTGTTACATGATTGTAAAGTTGTAACTAACTCACAGAGCATGTTAAGAAAAGTGGAAACAGGTGTACATAGTGCAGAGTGCCAAGCATTGCTTCACAGATCCTAGGTCGTTAGCTTTCTTTGGATATTTCTAAAGGGATATTGGTGTGTTGGGAAACAAACAGGCAGATAGACTGGCTGATTCTACACTACTTGTTGGTGAATTGATGCATGACCATCTAGATGTAAGGGTCCTTTGGGAGTGAGTGAACAGTTAGGAGGTACAAATAGGCCATTATAGTGTGGTGAGAATGGTGCTGCATGGAGTGACTGGTGGATCTAGTCGAAGCTCAGCACTCTAGGTTATACAATCAGACTTTTACTGGTGCCATCAGAATTGGAACTCTTGCTTGCTGGTGAAAACGGGGAGAGTGTGATTATGGGAGAATCCTGAGTGCTCTGGTGTTGATTCTTAATTAAACATTCAAAGTGTAGTCAGTACTTATAGATATATAAAGTATGGTCCAGATATTCCAGATATAAAGATGCTAATCAGTGTAAAGTGAAATTAGATGATTATATTTACCTCTACTACGATATAAAGACGTGCACAGGCGGGACATGAATGATACAGGTATTGAGGTGGACTCATGGAAACAAAATGCCATAGACCATTTTGTGTGGAGGGGGCACATCAGGAGAGGAATGAGAATGAAAGAAGAATTTATTGCAGAAAAGATGAGAGCTGAGCATCTGTGAAGAAACAGACTAAAAACAAATATGAACAACAGTGGTCCTGAAATCCCTTGCTATAATTGTGGAAGACTTTTCGGAAACCTGGCAGGTCTTGCTAGTCACACTCGCCATCGCCATGGGCTGTGAGTTCCATGCCTCCTCATAGCACAGTATAACACTGTAATCTGGGAAGACCGAAATGTGCCAGTCATTTACAGAAATGTGCAGAATTAGACATGATTTTGTAAACAATGGTGGTGTCCCTGATGTGGTTGTATATTAACATTGTTGTCGGTTCTAAATGATGTTGCTCTTGGTGTTAAAATTCCAGAGGATTGGCTTCATTGCACTCTCTCGGCAGAATGGCTAGCCGCCTGCAGAGAGCATCGCACAGAGCATGAACTTCCTAACTCCGGCAACGATTCGGGGGGGGTGGTCTCTGTAAAAATTGCACTCGTGAACTGAACGAGGCAGTTGTGAAATGAACCCACGACCTTCAGACCATGAGGCTAACGGCTTAACCACTTCGCCATGGAGACCCAGCTGTTGTGTTAAATGCTAACATGGTTGATGTTTGTAGAAAGTTATTGGTACTTATATTTTAAATGCTAACATTAGGTTGCACAGGTGCCTGTCTGCACCTCTCTATGGTCATCCTTGAAACAGGTTACTAACCGGGACACTGGACAGCCACAGCCATACATAGATACAATAAACATTTCCTTCAAGTTTCCGGTGCATCTGCCTCGGAGGCAATGAACCAATAGTCTGCATGTAGATGAGCCAGATGTTTAAAACACTTATTTCCCATTTGGGTTCCAGGGAGCCATTGTTGGGAAAACAATAACAGGCCCTCTGCTTCCCCAAGAAGCATGTCATAAGAGTTGACTACATTGTGAGCTTCTTTCAAAGTCACAGTGCATTTGTTTTGAGAGGCAAGTAACCAACAGTCTGCATACAAATAAGTCAGATCTGTTAAATAGATTTGCACACAAAACTCAGGTTCTTGAACAAGACTAAAGTCCAGAGTGGATGAACAACCAGAACTTACCGTTGGGAGTTTACAGCCGGTGAATGCAAAGAAGAAAACAGTTATGCACACAAAACTCAAGTCCTGGAACAAGACCAAAGTCCAGAAGTGGATGAACAGTCAGAACTTTACAGCTTATCAATGCAGATAAGAAGCAGTTGAAGAAAGGCTAACTTTACAGCTTATCAATGCAGATAAGAAGAAGTTAAAGAAAGGCTAACTTTACAGCTTATCAATGCAGATAAGAAGAAGTTAAAGAAAGGCTAACTTTACAGCTTATCAATGCAGATAAGAAGTTAAAGAAAGGCTAACTTTACAGCTTATCAATGCAGATAAGAAGAAGTTAAAGAAAGGCTAACTTTACAGCTTATCAATGCAGATAAGAAGAAGTTAAAGAAAGGCTAACTTTACAGCTTATCAATGCAGATAAGAAGAAGTTAAAGAAAGGCTAACTTTACAGCTTATCAATGCAGATAAGAAGAAGTTAAAGAAAGGCTAACTTTACAGCTTATCAATGCAGATAAGAAGAAGTTGAAGAAAGGCTAACTTTACAGCTTATCAATGCAGATAAGAAGAAGTTGAAGAAAAGCTAACTTTACAGCTTATCAATGCAGATAAGAAGAAGTTGAAGAAAGGCTAACTTTACAGCTTATCAATGCAGATAAGAAGAAGTTGAAGAAAGGCTAACTTAACGTTGATGATGTTTATAGATAAGTTTGTTGCTACTCTGATACGTTTTCTTGCTAACATGTTTGCTGGCTTGCAGGTGTTTGGGTTGGGAAATAAAACCTACGAGCATTACAACTCCATGGGCCTCTTTGTGGACAAGCGACTTGAAGAGCTGGGGGCAGAGAGGGTCTTTGAGCTGGGCCTAGGGGATGATGATGCTAAGTGAGTTTGTGTGTGTGTGTGTGTGTGTGTGTGCGTGCATATGTGGGAGGGTTTGTTTGTTTTTGTAGCCAATGTGGTGTAGTGGTAGACACTCATCTGTGGATCCAAAGGCCTAGGGTTCAGGTCTTGACGGAGCTGGACTATTTTTCAGAAATGTGACCGGTACCATCAGTATTGGAACTCTGCGCTGGCTGCTGAAGATGAGGACAGAGCATGCATGGAAATGCCCAGAGTGCTGTGATGTCAATTCTTGACTTAACTAACTAAATCGTTGATGTGTTTGTTATTCGACCTATGCTTGGTTAATATTAATTTCTGTAACCTATGGTGCCATTTAAATGGTTTGAGATTAATTCTGTCCATATTCCATAGTTGTGGAGTTCATGCTGTACAATAGACGTGGCCAATGAAGACACCTTTTTTGGGGGGGTGGGGGGGAGCTGCCTTGTTGGTCATGTTCTTAATGCATTTATCTCCACAGCGAGGCAGACACAGGCCATTTGGAGGTGACAGGTTAGATTTCCGGTACGATAACTATAGCTTTCGATTTTATGTTGTCTAATGTGTACTTCTACCTTTCTACTTCTTTATATGAGTGCCGATCAATACATTTTCTGCTTGTGTATTATAAATAGTATCAGAGGTTTAAACAATCGCTCAGTCAGTTTATCAGTGATTTAAACCATATGTCAGTCCATCAGACAGTAAATTTTTCAGTAATTTAAACCAACAGTCAGACAGTTTATCAGTCAATTAATCACTCATCCAATAAGTTGGTCATTTAATCATTGATTCTGACATTTAATCAGTGATTCTGACAATCAATTCTGTCTGTGTTCAGCATTGAGGAAGACTTTGTGAGCTGGAAGGAGAAGTTTTGGCCCGCTGTGTGTTCATATTTTGGTGTGGAAGCTACAGGAGAGAATGTCAAGTGAGTATAATTAAAATAATGTCTTCTCATGTGTACAAATATTGATTTACGTTTGCTGTGTTGTCTGGTTATCTCTGTGCATACCTGTCAGACTTTGGCTTATAGTAGATAACACATTATCATTGTCTGTCAGTAAGTACTTTACAGAATGTCACTTTCATCACGGCATACCTGAAAGTCTTGTTTTTCTCTGGCCAATTCTCCAGCCCGGTGTTCTTTCATAGCCAATGTATCTTCAGTGTCTTGTATTGACCTTCACAGAAGTCTGCCCTGCCTTGTTTTCATCGCTGTCCAGGCCACTGTGACATTTAACCTCAGCTTCCTGGTCAGGTGTTGTTTAAGGTATACACAACATATCAAACATGGCTCAGAAATAATTGAATGAAACAAACCTTTAAGAACAATTGTGTGAAAACTTGTAACGACTGAGAGAGAGAGAGGAGAGAGAGAGAGAGAGAGAGAGAGAGCTGTTCATGCAGGAATCAAAATTACAGATGTTAATTAATTTTTTTTAAAGGGTAGCTGGTTTTGTGGTTTAAAAAATGCTATAACATGGCTGGGAACACAAACTTTTTCTCACACATGCTTTCTCATTGACTCGATGAGTATGCTCAAGAAGATGGAGATGGGCTCGGTCCAAAGACAGTGGTGGGAGTCACCAAAACGATCGGGGCTGACAAATATCAGTTTTAGATTTGTGCCAGGACACGCAAGCGTACAAGGAAATGAGCAAAATGATAGGCTTGCGTGTAAAGCTAGTGTCGGGAGCGGATAAGCCCTGGACCAGGCAGATATCCTGAATGCTCTACGAGAAGTAAGACGTTTGTGAGAAACAAGTGATGACCGTGAACCTGCAACTATGACCAGACTGCAAGAACAGCATGTTTAAAGGGATGTGGCCAGACAAGAACAGTATGCAGGAAGCCAGAGAAGAATAAGAAACCAAAACAGGACTGGTGTCATGAGCCGCTACACACTGTGGGGATTTACTGAGGAAGAGATCCAAGCATTTATGGACTGAATGGTTTGATGTGTAATGAGGATAATCTGTTAACTAAGTTTGGTTAATTGAGTGAAAGTTGGTGTTTATTCTTTTGGTGCCTTAGTGAAGCATATTGTTTATTTCCTTTACAGCACCCGGCAGTATGCCTTGACTCTTATCCCTGAAGATTTCCCTAAGGAAAAGATATTTACTGGGGAGGTTGCACGAGTCGGCTCACTGCTCAACCAGAAACCGTAAGTTGTTTGTCATATCTCATGTTAGAATTGGGTCATACACAATGCTCACTTGCTGGGAATTTGGCTTCCACTACTGTTTTATGTTTAGTTTGAAATAAAGTTTTCTTCTTTTTCTTCTTTCTCCTTTTCTTCTTCCTTGCCTTCTTTTTCATCGTCTTCCTCATTTTTGTCTTTCTCATCCACTTCCTCTTCTTCCTCTTTCTTGTCCACTTCTTCATCTTCCTTTTCTTCCTCCTTCTTCCTTCTCCTCCCCCTATGCTTCTTCCTTTTGTTTTTTGCCCTTAAAAGGACATTTGTCACATTGTGTGTTAGTTTACACCTAGGCTGCAGTATCTAGGCCTTTTGATCCAGCACATCTGATTTTGACAAACCCTTAATGACTCACCTTTTTTAACAAGCTGGTTATGTGAGGGAGAAGGGTGAGGGGAAGGAGTGGCTCTGATCTTTTTTCAAGAAAAAAAAAACTTATATCCTCAAACCACACAGGGACAGTTAGGGTTGTATATTGCTTGGACACACAGGGTTATATATTGCTTGGACACACAGGGTTGTATATTGCTTGGACAAGCTGAGAAAGACCTGGATACAGAATATAGCCCTCTAACATGCACACAACAAGTCTGTTGCGTCTGACTGGCAGAGCTGGAAGGAGCTGATCAGACAGCATTCCTGAGATGTTGAGACAAAGGAGTCAGATGATGAACCTCTACATGTTAGAAATATGATTAAATGAGGACAAACATGCAGAAGCCTGTTGCAGGGGCAAAGAAGGAATGCCAATCAATCCCTGCTGGGTGCGTTGAGCACGAAGACACTGAGATGGCTGTTGTGACGGAGTGACAAGTCTCAGTGTTGTTGAAGACGGTCCTTGAATTAGTCGATTTGTAGTCATTTATAGTTAGTTGATTTATATTTGATTTTGGCATGAATCTGCTAATGAGAAGGAGACAAAGTTCTGTGGTCATGTAATGAGAAAAAGAGCACTGGAAAATATTGTGAGGACTGGAAAGATCACTGGTAGAAGAGGCAGACCAAGAGAATTGATGGTGGATAGCTTAAGACAGTGACATGGAGGAATATCGTCTGTGGAATTGATCCAGAACACCAAAGCGAGATCTGTGGTGATGCATGAACGCCTACGACATCTGGCAAAGCACTTAAAGATGATGATGAATCTGCTAGAATGTCGATGCAGACAACAGGTAGCAAGTATACACAAAATATTTAGCACTTGATACCCTGACAGCTGTGGTTGTTATGCATAATTGTTTGTTAGACTTAGATTTCAAGTTGTGCTACAGCATGTAAGCTGTGTGGACATGCTTGACCGACATCATGTGTGCTGTTTCAGGCCCTACGATGTGAAGAACCCATACCTGGCCCCGATTTTAGTGAACCGAGAGCTGCACAAGGGAGGCGATCGCTCATGTATGCATATAGAATTGGACATCACAGACTCTAAGATCAGGTGTGTGTATTTTCTTCTTCTTTCTCTCCTCCTCTTTCTTCTTCTTCTTCTTCTTCTTTGTCTTCTTCTTCTTCTTCTGTTACTTCATTATCTTCATCCACTACTCCATATTTCTTCACCTTTCTAGTTGTCCAGCATGTATTTAAAGTTGGGCATCACAGAGATCCAAGATCAAATGTATCTTCTTCTTCTTCTCTAGGATCTCTTGTTATCTCATCATCATCAAGTGCTGTGTCAATAAATTGTCATCCATATTTCTCAGTATCTTCAGCATGTATTTAAAGTTGACCATCACAGACTTTGTCTTCTTCTAACAATGTTGTGTATTTCATCTAGACTTGTTATACATTCTTCTTCCTCATTTTAGTGTTGACCGGGTGTAAACTAGTAGTAAGGTTTAGTTGGTTGCCCACTTCTAGACTTTATGCCTCCTGTTTCAGAACTTGAGTTTTGCTGCTCATCCGTTTGACAGTTCTGGCTTATTTGTATGTAGACTGTTGGTTTCTTGCCACCCAGGCAGATGCACCCTGACTCCAAAGGTTTCTTGCCACTCAGTGCAGATGCACCCTGACTCCAAAGGAAACATCCCTAATTAGTCAACTTCTGTGGCATTCTTGTTGAGAAGGGGCAGTGCGTCTGTTCTTTCCTCCCAAAATGGGGCAGACTGGCTGGCTCTGCACAACTTGGTGGAATACTGATGCATGATAAGGCAGACGTGGTTAGTGCCTTGTGGGAGAGCGTGTACAGTTCTGAGGAGCAGATGGATCACCACAGTCTGGTGAGATTAATGCAGTGGGGGGTGACGAGAGGTTCTGGCAGATGCTCGAGGCTCAGAGGAAAGGCAAGACGGATGTTTAATCAGAATGCTACTGGCACCATTAGAACTCTCCACTGACTGCTGAGGATGGGAATGGAGCGCTTATGGGAGTGCCTCGAGTGCTGTGATGTCAGTTCTTGAATCAACTCAATTCACTAGGGCACTTGAAACTACACGGTGACAGCGTGTCAGACCTCAAAATTAGGTGTGTAACAACAACTTCTCCTCTACCTTCTCAAGTTTTGCATCAACAGGTTTTTTTGGTACCTTTCGATCCCCAGCATGTATTTAAAGTTGGGCGTAAGAGACTTCAAGATCACATAATGAATCCCCTGACAACTGCATGTGACTGATATGGGACAGCGGGGGGCCACTGTATGTGACAGACTTGGGACAGAGGGCCGCTGCATGTGACAGATATGGGACAGCAGGGGGCCACTGTATGTGACAGACTTGGGACAGAGGGCCACTGCATGTGACAGATATGGGGCAGGGGACCGCTGCATGTGACAGATATGGAATATGGGACCTTTGCATGGAATAGATATGGGACAGGGAGCCACTGTTTGTGACAGATATGGTACAGGGGACAACTGTGTGTGACACATATGGGATGGGGGCCTCTGTATGTGACACATATGGGACAGGAGACCACTGTATGGGACAGGGGGGCCACGCGGCGTTAGACCCTTGTGAATTTGACTGTGAATGTCTGTCACAGATACGAGACAGGGGACCATGTGGCCATATATCCGGTCAATGACTCTGAGATTGTGGAGAAACTCGGCCAGAGGCTAGGTGCAGATCTGGACACATTGTTTATGCTAACCAACATTGATGGTAAGCTCTTCTTTCTAATAGATTTGTCTGTGAGCTGTCCATTGTAATAGATTCATGGGTGAGCTGTCCATTGTAATAGATTCATGGGTGAGCTGTCCATTGTAATAGATTCATGGGTGAGCTGTCCATTATAATAGATTCATGGGTGAGCTGTCCATTGTAATAGATTCATGAGTGAGCTGTTCATTGTAATAGATTCATAGGTGAGCTGTCCATTGTAATAGATTCATGGGTGAGCTGTCCAATGTAATAGATTCATGGGTGAGCTGTCCATTGTAATAGATTCATGAGTGAGCTGTTCATTGTAATAGATTCATAGGTGAGCTGTCCATTGTAATAGATTCATGGGTGAGCTGTCCATTGTAATAGATTCATGGGTGAGCTGTTCATTGTAATAGATTCATAGGTGAGCTGTCCATTGTAATAGATTCATAGGTGAGCTGTCCATTGTAATAGATTCATAGGTGAGCTGTCCATTGTAATAGATTCATCTGTGAGCTGTCCATTGTAATAGATTCATGGGTGAGCTGTCCATTGTAATAGATTCATGGGTGAGCTGTCCATTTTAATAGATTCATGGGTGAGCTGTCCATTGTAATAGATTCATGGGCGAGCTGTCCATTGTAATAGATTCATGGGTGAGCTGTCCATTTTAATAGATTCATGGGTGAGCTGTCCATTGTAATAGATTCATGGGCGAGCTGTCCATTGTAATAGATTCGTCTGTGAGCTGTCCATTGTAATAGATTCATTGATGAGCTGTCCATTGTAATATATTCATGGGTGAGCTGTCTGTTGTAATAGATTCATTGGTGGATTCTTGTCTTTATGAGCAAACCATTGTAAGTTTCCTTATTAGATTCTCCGTGTCACTTTATGAGTTCTGGCGCCTTTGGAAGGGGGGGGGCAACAAGTATGTTTTTGGAGATGACTGATTATGGGTTTTGTCTTCAGTGTCAAACGCATCTGCTTGAGAGACGAGGAACCAACAGTCTGAAGACAGATAAGCTAGATCTGTAAAATGGATGTGCACACAAAGCTCAAGTTCTGGAATAATACCAAAGTCTTGAAGTGGATGAACAACCAAAACTTTCTGTAGGAGTTTACTGCAGGTAGAAGAAGAAGGTTACCCATGGTGGTATTCAGTGGTACCTCGGAATTCAAACACCTCAGAACTCAAACAAGTTGCAATCTGATTGTAATTTTAAAGTAATTTTGCCTCGGAACTCAGGCACCACCTTAGAAACTGAATGCCAGGCATGTACCGATTACGCCACTGAGCTGACAGTCCAAGAGCTTCAGCACATTTACCAGCAGCTTAAAGAAACAATTTCGGAAGAAATTTCTTCCGGAGAGGAAGAGGGGGAAAGCTGGAAGGATTAGTAATACTGACATCCCAAGACCTCATTGCCCAGTAATAAAAAATACAAGAAGTTTCTGGAAGGTGGCACCCTGACAGAGCCCTAATTAACAAGTGTGTTATTCAGTGATAACATTATTGAACATTTGAGACAAATTATAAATCATCTGAAACCTTCTACAAGTGATGAAGTACTCAGATATGAAACACCAGGAAGGATTCCGGACTCACCTTTCAAACAGTAATCTTCTTAAATCCCCCTTCCTCCTCCTGCTTCTATGTAATGTGTCACCATTTTGATCAAGGTACAGTAAATACAATGTTTTTATAACTTATTTGATGCAAACTGTTGGTTGCCTGCTTCTCAGGCAGATACACATTCAGTCATACTCTCTGACTTTAAAAGAAGCTCCTTGGCAGTTGACTCTTATGACATGAATTTTGGGGAGACAGTGTGTGTTCTTTTCTTTACATTGGGCTCCAAGAACCCACACAGAGAAAAGCCAGATCTAGTAAAGTGAGATTTTTTTAAAGGTGAGAGGATCTACTTCATTGCACTGGGTTTTATGCCATGTGGCTCAGTATCTGTCAGCAGAACGGCTTGCTGCCTGTGAGAGTGTCACACAGAGCATGGATTCCATAGTTCTGTGACAGTCCTCGGGGATCAGTGTAAAATTTAGACTTGTGAAGCAAACGATGCAGCTGGGCAACAAACCCACCATTTTCCGGGGGATGAGGCAACCGGCTTGACCACTTCACAATAGAAACCCTGCAAGATTTTGTAGTAAAATGACATGCCAGATGACATCAAGCTCAGATCAGACTGTGCTCTTGTGTTAACACACTGTCTGTTTACAGAGGATGCCAGCAAAAAGCACCCATTCCCATGCCCTTGCACGTACAGAACGGCCCTGACACACTACATTGACATAACCCACCCTCCACGTACTCACGTACTGGGGGAGCTGGCGGAGTACACTGACAGCACAGAGGACAAGGAGTTCCTGCTGAAGATGACTCATGCAACAGAGGAAGGAAAGGTATTTGGCTTGTGTTCTGCATGTTTTTAGATTCTGTCTTGTTGCTAGAGCTTGTAGCGTCAACTTCTTTGTCAGGTACTTTTCACTTTAGACATCTGTGGGCGACAAATGGAGCTATTGTGGCATGACTCATAAACTATTCTTGACCATTGTTATTATCCAGGTTTTTATTCTCCTTCACAGAAACTATCCATTCTAGACTATTGGTTGTTATCCATGTTTTTGTTTCTTACACAGAAACTGTACATTCTAGACTATTGTTTGTTATCCATGTTTTTGTTTTTTTTACACAAAAATTGTCCATTCTAGACCATTGGTTGTTATCCATGTTTTTGTTTTCTTTCACAGAAACTGTCTATTCTAGACTATTGGTTGTTATCCATGTTTTTGTTTTCTTACACAGAAACTGTCCATTCTAAACTAATGTTTTTTTTATCAATGTTTGTGTTTTCTTTCACAGAAACTGTCTATTCTAGATTATTGGTTGTTATCCATGTTTGTGTTTTCTTACACAGAAACTGTCCATTCTAGACTGTTGGTTGTTATCCATGTTTTTGTTTTCATTGACAGAAACTGTCCATTCTAGACTGTTGGTTGTTATCCATGTTTTTTGTTATCATTGTCAGAAACTCTATCAGGACTGGATTCACAATGATCACAGAAACATCCTAGCTGTGCTGGAGGACATACCCTCTCTGAAGCCGCCCATTGATCACCTGTGTGAACTGTTGCCCCGACTACAGCCCAGGTTCTACTCCATCTCCTCCTCCCCAAAGGTAAACTAGAAAATCAAAATAAGGCTCTGGGGAAGTGGATATGTTATGTTATCACAATCGATGTCTATGCATATTGGGCATTCCAGTGTGTGCTCAGATGCAGCAGACACTTCAGGGTACCTCTACTGATTGTTTCCATGAGGAATTGGTTAAAGTATCTCCTGACATAATACACTGTTAAATACCAAACTGGAGGGAAAAGTCGAAGGCAGGAGAGCAAAACACAACTGGAAGTGACTAGATTTAGCCTTCTCAGAGCAGTAAGGTTAAAGTGGAATAAGGAGAAATGGTCCCAAAGAATATTGGCCTTTGAGCTGAAATGCTATAGAAAGATTCTCAGAATGTCTTGGACAAAAAAGAGGAGAAATACTATCTTAAAAGATCTGAGCATTCTGCATTCTGTTTCGGAAGCTGAAATATTTTGGTCATATCAAGCGCCATGACGGATTGGAAAAAATTATAGCAGGAGGCATGGTACCAGGAAGGAGGGGCAGGGGCCGACCAACACGAAGATGGGCACAGGATATAAGTGACTCCTTGAGTATGAAAGTACATGAGGCAGGAGAACTGGCGAGAGACCAAGTTACTTTCAGGCAGATCATGATGAGAGCGACGTTCTGCAAAGGACCTGCTACAAGATCATGATGGTCCCAGATACTGATTTTCATTCACAAATTCTTCTTATTCTTAGTGTTTAAAATTCTGGCTGTTCATCCACTTCTGGATTTTGATCTTATTCGAGAACTTGAGTTCTGCATGCACATTGTTTTTGCTGATTGGACTTATTTGTATGCAGACTGTTGGTTTGTCACCTGTCAGGCAGATGCAGTCTGAAGGGAACACACCTAATCAGTTGTTTTGTGTGATTTGCTTTTTTAGAAGGTAGTGGGTCTGTTCTTTCCCCCCCACTAAAATGAGGAACCCACAAGGGAAACAAATACTTGGATTTCCTCGTGAGGGTTCTGGGTCCCATCGTGGGAGAAAACAAGAATAGACCCACTGCCTCCCCAACAAGCATGTCATAAGAGTTGACTAATTGAGCTTTTCCTTTGTAGTGCATCTGCCTGAGGCAAGGAACCAGCGGTCTGCATACACATAAGTCAGACCTGTAAAACGGATGTGCACATAACCCTCAGGTTCTGGAGCAAGTCTAAAGTCCAGAAGTGGATGAACACCCAGAACTTTCTGCCAGAGTTTACAGCTGGTGAACGCGAAGAAAAAAAACTTGATGATATTAGCGACATTACCAAACTCCCTTGTTCAAGAGAGACATGACGATATTATAGTTGAAAAAAATAGGACCTTTTTTTTTACACCAGTGGCATAGGTTGCTAGGCTCCTATTTTTGAAGATTCATTGGGTGATATGGGCAGCCATTTTGCCAGCCATCTTATTACATGCCAGGATGTTTTAGACTAGCTTGATTTGGGCAGCCCCCAATGTCTAGTATTGTAGCACCAGTATTCTCTGTTTTAGAAGTCTTTGTCTCCTTCCTCTTATCCATCTTCTATATGTTGATAGGCTGTAAACTCCAGCGGAAAGTTCTGGTTGTCCATCCACTTCTGGACTTTTGGTCTTGTTCAAGAACTTGAGTTTAACATACATATAAATTTTACAGATCTGGCTTATTTATATGCAGTCTATTGGTTCCCCTCCTCTCAGGCAGATGGCACTCTAACTTCGAAGGAAACACCCCTAATTATTTGCCTTCTATAACATGTTGGGGATGGGGAGGAGATGTATTCCCCCCCCCTCCTACTCCCACCCCTCCAAAGGACCCCAGATTTTACATGAGGATATTAGTTAAGGTAGAGAGTATCGACATCATTGCCCTAGATTTTATCCCATGGCTCGGGCTGTTTGTAGAACAGCTGCCTGCCGAGAGCATTGCATAAAGCTTGAACACTGTAGCTCTAGCGGCAATCTCCAGAGGTCTCTGTAAAAATTTCATTCGTGATCTGACTGACACAACCGTGACCCCCACGACCTTCAGAGCATGAGAGAAACGGCTTGCCCACTTCACTGTGAAGAATGGCAACAGAAATAACAGGAGCGAAGACTACATTACAATATTTTAGTTCCAGTATGTTCTTTTTTTGGTTCTAGAAATCATGGATTATCTCCCACAGATCCACCCCACCAGTATCCACGTCACAGCCATCCTGGTCAAGTACACCACACCTACCCAGCGGGTCTACAAGGGGGTTTGCACCAACTGGCTGGCAACTATGAAGCCTGGTGCAGCTGGCGAACCTTTGCCCCGAGTGCCCATTTATGTCCGCAAGTCTCAGTTCCGTCTGCCATACAAGCCGTCAACTCCTGTCATTATGATTGGGCCTGGTACTGGATTAGCTCCCTTCAGGGGTTTCATACAAGAGAGGAGTTACTTTAAAGAAGAAGGTACAAGTTTCTTGTTGGTGTTTGGTGTAAGGCAGGAGGAGGTTATGTGTGTCTTTGAGGATGTTTGGTTGAAAGTAGGAGGAGGAGGTTTTGTGTGTCTTTGAGGATGTTTGGTTGAAAGGAGGAGGAGGAGGTGATGTGTGTCTTTGAGGATGTTTGGTTGAAAGGAGGAGGAGGTTTTGTGTGTCTTTGAGGATGTTTGGTTGAAAGGTGGAGGAGGTGATGTGTGTCTTTGAGGATGTTTGGTTGAAAGGTGGAGGAGGTTTTGTGTGTCTTTGAGGATGTTTGGTTGAAAGGTGGAGGAGGTGATGTGTGTCTTTGAGGATGTTTGGTTGAAAGGTGGAGGAGGAGGTTATGTGTGTCTTTGAGGATGTTTGGTTGAAAGGTGAAGGACATTATATGTGTCTTTGAAGATGTTTGGTTGAAAGGTGGAGGAGGAGGTTATGTGTGTCTTTGAAGATGTTTGGTTGAAAGGAGGAGGAGGAGGTGATGTGTGTCTTTGAGGATGTTTGGTTGAAAGTAGGAGGAGGAGGTTATGTGTGTCTTTAAGGATCTTTGAATTTGGAGGGGAGGGGGGATATTTGTTTTAGGGAGGAGGAATTGGGGGCATGCCTTGGGTTTTTGTATAATTAGAAATTGAGGAAGAGGGTATGTGGTGTCTCATGATGGGAATATGGGATTTATGCAAAGAGAAAAGGTGTTTTTGTGTCTTGAGGATAATGTTAATAATGGAAGAGAAAGAGGATTTGTGTCTTAAGGCTGTTTGATTTACAGGAGAAAGAAGGTATGTTTCTTGAGGATGGATTTAAGAGAAAAGAAAAGGTATTTGTATCTGTGATGTCTGCACGTTAATGTTTTTTTTTTTTTTAATGTTTCTGAATTTGAAAACGCATGAGTTGAGTTGAGTCAAAAATTGACATCACGGCACTCTGGGCATTCCCATGCATGCTTTGTCCTCATCTTCAGCAGCCAGCGCAGAGTTCCAATACTGATGGTACCGGTCATTATCTGGTTATATGACCGTCTTGGCGCATAAAAGAGATAAATGTGTCTGGTGTGTGCATTACATGAGAATATTGCACTACCAAAGAGGGGTATCTGAGGTATATTTCATATAAGAACGGAGCTGGTTTTAAAACTGACCTTGGCTCCAAGTCGACCCAGCCTTAAATTGGTACCATGTAAAGTCCTGGGAAGTAAAGGTGGCCGTCTTGGTGTTGACTGCATCACCCACCAAATGCTGGTTCTTCTATAAAATATAGATCTAGCACTAGGCAGTAATGTAGATAAAGATGGAGGAACTGATAGAGATATTAAAATAAGAATACAAAAGGCAAGAGGGGCTTTCATAGCACTAGGGAATTTGTGGAGGTCAAAAGAAATTAAAAGAAATACTAAACTAAAAATGTTTAATTCTAATGTCAAATCAGTACTATTGTATGGGGCGGAAACATGGAGAACTTTACTTTTTCCTTCCACGTATGCCGCTAAGCGTTGTGGGGAGATGCAAGTTCCTGTCATAAGCAAGGCGGGCAGCATCTGATGTTCTGAGGCCATGCTTTTGGCAGGTTTCGGAGACCCCGTCAATCCACAGTTTCCTTGGTCTTCCTCTTGCCTTATATCCTGAGCTTCTTTGGTTGAAAATTTGTGGTGTTATTTGGTCATTTTTCATCCTGGTTAGATGTCCAAACCATTTCATTCTTTGATGTTCTATGTAGTCTAAACATGGTGTAGTTTTGACAGTGTTTCTAATGTCTATGTTCTTTATCCTGTCTAGTCTGGTCTTATTCGCTGCTTTTCTTAGACATTTCATTTCACAGGCTTCTATTTTTCTTTCATGGGTCTTGTTGATTGTCCATGTCTGGCACTGGTAGCAGAGTGTTGGAATGAAGATGGTGTTTATCAATTGTCTTTTGGTCTTCATGGTTATATCTGGATGTTTAAGCAGAGGTGATAGTCGGTATGTGACAGCATTTGCTTTCTGTATTCTTGTTTCTCTCTCTCTGTCCATTCTTCCATCCTCTGTAAATATACTGCCCAAGTATTTGAACTCTTTGGTTTGCTTGATTTTGGCACTTCCAACATTTATTATATTCAGTGGCCTGTGTGTTCTGCTGATCTTCATAACTTCTGTTTTTTCTGTACCGATTCTCATATTATGTTGTAAACAGCTGTTGTTGAGAGTAGTCAGATGTTCCTGTAGATCATATTCATTTTGATACAGTATGCTTTGATCATCAGCAAAAAGTAATTCGTTTATAGCATACACGTCTGGGTTTGCTTCTACAGTGATCTTATCCATGTATGTTATGAAAAGTAATGGTGACAGTACACATCCTTGTCTGACACCAGTTGTGACTTTGAACCATTCAGAAAGACCACTAGATGTTCTTACTGCACTTTCACTTTTTTCATAGAGGGCTCTGATGTTGTCTAATAATTGACCCTGCACTCCGTAATCGTCAAGAATTCTCCACAGCACATCTCTGTCCACACGGTCGAATGCCTTCTCTTGATCTACAAAGACCACGTTCAGCTCTTTATCGTATTTGAGTGTCTTTTCAGACTTGTCTTAGTGCAAATATGGCATCAGTGCAACCTCGCCCTTTCCTGAAACCGAATTGTGCTTTACTCAGTAGAGGTTCAACCTTTGCTCTTATCCTACCTTCTAAGATCTTTGCATACATTTTCCCCACATGACTTAGTAAAGATATTCCTCTATAAGTTCCACATTCTCTCTTGTTTCCTTTTTTCTTCCAGATAGGTACTACAACTGATCTTTGCCAATCCACTGGTACCTTTCTCTCTGCCCATGCTCTATTGAAAATTCTCTCCAGCCAGGTGATCATAGTGTCCCCTCCAGCCTGGATGACTTCTGTTGTTATTCCGTCGATACCAGCTGCTTTGTGTCTTTTACTTGTTTTGATAACTTTCTCTACCTCATCCCGCAGGATATGTGGTTCTAGATGATCTGGAGCCCTTGAATGGAATTCTGCTGTTTCATGTACTCCCGACGGGTTCAAAAGTTCTTTAAAATATTCCTCCCATCTTTTTTTAATTTCTTTTTGGCTGAATAATGGTTTTCCATTTTTATCATTTATGACTGATGTTGGATTGAAGCTTTCTTCTCTTAATCGCATCGCTTTCACTCTTATAAAAGTCTCTTGATGATTCTGTACATAGCTGTGTTAGGTGTTCACCATACTTTTTCCATGAATCCTCTTTGGATTTCTTTATTGTTCTCTTGGTGTCTCTTCGAGTTAGTCTGTACCTAATGTAATCCTTTTCGTCTTTTGTTTTTAACCATATTTGAAACATCTTCTTTTTATTTGACACTGCTTCTTTGACTTCTTCATTCCACCAAGCGGTACCCCTTTTCTTGCCTTTGCCCGTCTTTCTGGTACCACACTTGTCTTTTAATATCTTCGTGATGGTTGATTTATAATAATCCCATTCTTCTTCAATTCTTACTGGTTCCTTGGCAATATCTGCAAAAGCCTTTGTTATTTCTAGTTCAAATTTATGTTTGATATTCTCTTCCTCTAATTTCTTAGTGTTGATGATTTCTTCACGTTTCTGTTTATGTAGACTGTTTCTACTTGAGTTGCATATGTTCATAACTACTGGGCGATGGTCTGAATCCAGTCCCGCATTTGGACAGCTTTTGAGTCTCTTACCTTCCTCTTCTGCCGTTGTCTGACTAGTATAAAATCAATTTGTGACGCTTGATCTAAGTTGTTCCACTTGTACCACGTTTTAACCTGACTTTGGCGATGTTGGTAGAATGTGTTGGTAATGTAGAGATCTTGTTCAGCACACAAGTTTAGCAGGTGTTCTCCATTTCTATTGCAATCTGTGGTTGTGTCGCTAAATGGGCCAAGGTATCTCTCCCATGGTGATCTTCTTTTACCTACCCTACCATTAAAATCTCCCATTACTATGATGTCCTCTTTCTCTTTAACATTATTGATGGTGTCCGTAAGTCTCTCGTAAAAGTCTTCTTTTTCTTCTTCAGAGTAACTATCATTACAAGGTGCATATATCTGAATAATCGTTGTAGTTTTACTTCCTTCTGTCAACTTGATTAAAATAATTCTTTCTGATATAAATTCTGTTCCTGTTATTAATTTTGCTGTCTCGGGATGAAGTATAAATCCGACACCATGTTTTGCCCTATCTTTAGTGGGTACTCCGCTCCATACTAAAACATAATTTTCATGTAAACATGGAGAACAACCAAGGCAATTACTAATAAATTACAGACATTCATTAACTGGTGCCTGCGCAGAATAGAGGGAATAAAATGTTATGATAGAATAACTAATGTAGAACTTTGGGAGAGAACTAAACAGGCTTCAGTGGATCAGGAAGTGAGGAAAAGACGCTGGCGTTGGATAGGGCACACACTGAGAAAACAGCATTACTAGAATGTCTTTGCATTGGAACCCACAGGGGCATAGGAATAAAGGAAGGCCAAAAAACACATGGAGAAGAGAGCTGGAGAACGAGGTTAGAAAGATTGGGAGGACATGGGGAGAGCTCCATGCAATGGGGAAGGATAGAACGACTTGGCGTGAGTTGGTTGAGGGCCTATGCTCCATTGGGGGATAGAAAGGCAGAAGAAGAGACTATGTGTCCTACACCTAAAGGTGTGCAATAGGGTTCTTTGATGCCCGGTCTGTATTGAAATGTTCTAATGTTTACCTGCCAGGTAAGCCTGTGGGAGACACAATCCTCTACTTTGGCTGCCGCAACAAGTCAGTGGACTTTATCTATGAGGAAGAGTTAACCAAGTATGTGGACACTGGGCTGCTGACCCTGCACGCAGCTTTCTCCCGAGACCAGGAACACAAAGTCTACGTCCAGCACCTGATTGACCAGAATCACGATGAAATCTGGAATGTTCTCAACAACAGTGGCCACCTGTACATTTGTGGGTAAGTTTTGTAAACAGAGTCATCCAGAATACATGTGCAATGGGCTGTCTTTGCAAAGTGACTAAAAGAAGAGACAGGGTTATGAATACCAGCATTTGGGAGAAAGTTGGAATAAGTCCATGTATGGATTATATTGACAGCAAAGAAAGAAAAGGTTCAGCCATCTAGTGAGACTGCAGCCAGAGAAAACAGCATATGAGACTTTTAACAGTAGAACATCTGGGACAAAACCAGGGGAAGATCAAGAAAAAGATGGATACATGGTATAGCTGAAACCTGCACAGAGATGAACAAATCCATCACCCAAGTCACCGGAGAAACACAAGACAATATAGAAAACCTTGTACCTCTTCTTCTGCCTTTCCAACCCCCAACAGAGCATAGGCCCTCAACCAACTCACTCCAGGTCGTTCTATCCTTCACTGTCACATGCAGCTCTCTCCATGTCCTCCCCATCTTTTTAACTTTTCTATCTAGCTCCCTTCTCAATGTGTGTTTTTGTCTTTCTTTATTTCTGTGCTCCTGTGGGTTCCAGTAGCAGCGACCGTGGCTTAGGTTTTGCAAGTCCGACCTGTAATTCCAACGTCTGCGATTGAAACTGACTGCTGGCTGCGTGGATTTTTATCATGGTGTAGGGCATCGCAGGTCGACCCAGCCTCAAATGGGTACCAAGATGGCTGTCCTGGGGAAGCAAAGATGGCCGGCATAATGCTAACCACATTATCCGCCTTGTGCCGATTGGTCTGTAAAAATATGGGTGCTCTTCCCATATGCCCGATGTACCTAAAGGCGTGAAAGATCTTTGGGAGTTTGGAGTAGGTTCTGGTGCAAAGACATAGGTGCGAAATCTCACGCCCGGCGAGATGGGGGCGAGTTTTGCAATATGTACCTTTAATAAATATACCCGTGTGCTGTCTTAAAATGTTCAGAACAGTATTTTTGTGACCATGAGGTGTCTGAGGGTGCTGAGTCGATACAGAACTTCCAGCAAGTTTCAGGGTGGGTCACTGCAGCAGTTGCAGCTGAGTTGAGTCAAGAGATGACATTACAGCACTCAGGACATTCCCGTGCATGCTCCCTCCTCATCTTCAGCAGCCAGCGCAGAGTTCCAATACTGGTGGTACCAGTCCCAATCTGGTTTTATGTCTCTTTAGCCTTTCCTCTGCCGTTGCAGCTGTAACTGTGGATATTAAACATAAGGCATGGCTAGACCTATATTTGATAGAACAATCAGCACTTGGTGGGTGATGTGGTCAGCATGCCGGCTGCCTACACTTTCCAGGACTTTACCTGATACCCATTTAAAGCTAGGTTGAGCTGGGAGTCAAGGTCATTTTTTTTTTAAGGAAAAAAAGTCAGACTCAGTCAGGACCCGAACCTACGACCTTCTAATCTGCAGGCGAATATCTAGCTGCTACACCACAGCAGCTCTCAACACTGAATACTAATATAAAATAGGTGCTAATCATCATGTCCTGTCTTGCTCCCCAGCGACGCCAAGAACATGGCCAGGGACGTGCATGCCATGCTGGTGAAGATCCTCACATCCAAGGGAAACATGACCACCACCGAAGCCGAGGATTACATCAAGAAACTACAGTCAAAGGGCCGCTACTCTGCTGATGTCTGGAGCTAACAGATTCTGTCACCTCAGTTGCCGTTGTTTTTATCACTTGCTTTCATATTGACACCAAACATTTATGATTCTGTATTTATACCTGCCAGTTGTTTACTGTGGCACCAACTTTTGTCTGTCAGCGGATTCTATATTGTTGTTGTTGTTATAGATCCAGCGGCCCATGAGCTTTCGCCCTTTGGCCCAATGCCATGTAGTGGAATTTGCATGTTTCACAAGCTGTTCTTTTCCTCTGACAATGTGTTCCACTTGTCTGCTCTCGGAGGGAGTAGCATTCTTCTAGTCTCGCTGAGTTTTGGGCACTCAAAGAGAGGGTGTTCAACAGTTTCATAGGGGTAGTTACATAGCTGGCACTCTGGGGGAACCCTGTATTGTTAAAATCTGTCTCTAATTAATGTGTGTGTTTTAGGTTTTTTTTTTTTTTTTTTAACCCTATCAGTGATATGATAAACAAGGACAAACATGTAAAATCCAAATGCGGGGCAAAGAAAATATACAAGTCAGTCTGGCAGGGTACCTTGATCATGGAGACACTGAGATGGCTGCCGTATTGGAGGACAGGGCACCAGTCGGTCAGGCAGATGTGCTAAAATGTCCATACGCGATAACAGATGACATATCTAGAGGATCAAAGATCCATTTAGGGGCTGCCGTAATGCAATAACAGATGATATATCTAGAGGATCAAAGATCTATTTAGGGGCTGCCGTAACGCAATAACAGATGATATATCTAGAGGATCAAAGATCCATTTGGGGGCTGCCATGACGCAATAGCTAATAGGCTTTCCTGTCTACTCGGAGGTCATAGGTTTAAACCTATTGGATTTGAATAAAAACTGATCAAGACATCGCATTTCTTCTGCTATTTATTGTTTTCTTTTAGCTTCATTTTCAGGGTAGAATTTTAACAATGTTTTCAGTTTAGAAAAAAATTGAAATGTCTTTTTTTTTTAAGATTCTTACTGAGTGGTTATTTTAGCGGTTCTTTGTGTTTCTGATCCTTGCAGGAGAACTGGGTTTGGTTCTTTCGTAATATCCTACCCCAGATGACATCACAGGACAGTCTAACATTTTAGAGGGGGGTAAGACTAGATTTCCCAGCTTTCGGATGCTTTTAATGACCCCAAAACTGGCCCTAACCCCAACCCACCTACATCCCACGAGAGGGTGCAGCCTAGTTCCCACGAATGCATGCAACCTTCCACTCCCTGAAGACTGTTCCATGACCTGTGGATTAGCCTTGTTTGGGGTAAGATATTAAGAAATCACCTAGAACTGTTTTAACTTTACATATGTTGGCTTATGTGTGTATATATCATGTGATAAACAGTTTAAATGTGAATGTCTCTAAACAGATTTTTCTCCCTTCTACATATTCACTTTTTTTTGACAGAATTTATTTCTAATTAATTTATTACTTGTCAGCATCTGAGTGTTTTGATGACAGTGTGTGTATAAATAAATGTTTAAGTCACTGCAGGATACACAGAGATTAAATTTCCCCTTAATTTTGTTAAGCTTGTAATTGCCTGCCTGTTCAGGATTTCAGGTCAGTTCATAGCTGTCCGGGGCCCAAGTATATAACCCTTACAGTTTAATGGTGCTTACCAGGATTTGTACAAGTAAGATTCTCATCCTTGAGATGTAAAAAATACTGCAGACTGCAATCCTGGAGGGGGCAACTGCATCATCATGTTCATAACCATCATGTTTTTTGTTTTCTTGCCTTGAGATGTATATAGCATTCAACGAAATGAGCACGGCCAAGTGTTTGCAGGTAAGGCTATGGTGGAGGGCAAGCCATGGACCAGGCTGATATGCTGAATAGGTACCGAATGCTGCTTTGCAAGAAGTATTACACTTGCCCGAACTGTTTTATGATGGTGAATCTGCAACCATGATCGGACTGCAAGAATAGGAAGTTTAAAAAAAAAAAAAAAGTTGCCAGACAAGAATTTACAACAACAAAAAATTTATTTTTGACCTATGTTAAGGAAAAAAATATAAAGATATTCTCACCGTTTTGACCCATTTTTATAACATTCCTGGGGTAAAAAGGGTCAAGCCAGTAATATGCAGGTCTACTTACTGTTGTGTTACCTGTCATCAGTTGAAATATATATTGACTTACAATGTCTCTTGCCCTGTTGTATCTGACAACCTGTTTTCAGCATCGGGTTTCATTACTGCAGGATTTTTTGTTTACACAGTAATTATGGTTTTTGGACACATAGTTGCGCTCTATAAATATTTGGTCTCATCACATATTTCCCAATTACAGCAGTGAATATTTAGCCGACCTTCATTGTGAAGACGGCACACAATTTTGTTCAACTTTAAAAGCTAATGAGATATAGTGTCTGTTGTCAGTTCAGGTCATCAATGTTTGGAAGCCCTTCATGCAGTTGTATTTATTTACATTGTGCTTGCACATACTGCTTCGTGATGTGCATGCTGTTTTATTTGAGTGTAGCTTATGTGTCTGTGCAATTTTTGTTTTTATGTGCAGTTATTTTGCTGTGACTTGTGCAGCCAGTATTTTGTCTACTTTCTGCAGCCTAACGTGAGCAAGGCGAGACAGTTGGCAAGGGACCCATCGGGTGGATTTCCAGCATACCTTGTTGACAGTGGGGGGGGGGGGGGGGGGGGGGGGGAATCGTGGGTAGTTTTACAATTGAGCAATCATATTTACAGCTTTACCAGTCATGAAAACAAAATAGCTTTGCCAGAGTGATGTGGAGAGTGATTTCCGTGGTGCCTTGTCCAACATGAGACCCCAAAAAAAAAAAAAAAAAAAAAAAAAAACAGATATCATCAGGATAAAATAGTGTTAACCATCACATTGATATTTGGACACTTAATTACTAGTTGTTCGTAAATGTTTCTTTTATTTAACACTTTGATATATGTGGATGTGTTTCTCCAAATTCCTGTTCAAAGGCTTGGGATTTTTGTTGAATCTTTGTGTCTTCCTCTTAATCATATTTTGCTGAGAGGGGGGGGGGGGGGGAATCCCTTTTCCATCTTCACAAGGGAGACACTTCCTGGAAATATATATATATATATTTTAAAAGGCCGGACATCATTGTTCCAGATGATGATGACGTGTAACTAACTCTTCAAGAGATTATTTTTGGCTGCAGAAAGCTTTGCATGAGGGAAAACTTACCCTGTAGCTCCAAGAAGCCACAAAACTGACACATCCGGCTCTGTCCTATTCCCCATAAATGTATTTTTTTTTTTTTCAACTTGTCTGGGACCTATTTATGAAACACATAGTTAATGCAACTAGCTGAGTTTGTGCCTGCGCAAACGTTTAGTGGGTCAGGATATGAGTATAGTAGTTAAAAATAGTATTTAGGGTTTTCTTAAAAACCAGAGCTTTCAAGATATTTTGACATCAGATTTTCCAGTAAGCCTCACTGATAGAGGTCACAACATGAGTCACCAGATTACATATTTTTTTTAAAGACCCATGAGTGTATTAAATTGGATGTTTCATCTGTTCATGATTACTCCCTCTATATATCTTTATGTATTTTGGGGGTAAATTTTAAAATATATATAGATATATTTATACACACACATTGTTACATTTATAAGTGATCTGTATAGAATTATTTTTTTAAACATGATGGAGGGGGAAGGGGGGTGTGTTGTTCCCATGGGGTTGTGACCCATTTTTTTAAAAGGTTAAAAGCAAATGTTCAGGAAGAAGGCAAGTTATATGGTAAAAGATAATTAACAGATGGATAGAATTGTTATCCTTAGTTTGATCTGTTTCAGTACATGTCTTTTATTTGCAATGCCAGTTATTTAAGCTGGCCATATTTGTTTTATCTCTTCTTATTTCTTGATTTTCAATTTCATTTTCTTTGGGTTTATACACATTTAAAAAAATAAAATTTTATTGCATTCTTAGAGAGCGTGACATTCTCAATTTTTAGCTCTATTGTTTCCAAAGCATCAAGTATGGCGGGAATTGTTCTATTTTTAAGCATGTCTCCCCACTCATCAGATCCACAGTGGCCTTATGTTCCTATCCCCATTTGGGCCAATTTTTCCTGGCTGGTGTAACTGAAAGGGGTCCTCTAATAGGAACTTCCTGCAAGGTTGAATGAGGTTATCTCCCTTGTTATTCTGTCGGCCAGACAGTTTAAAATGAAATCTTTGGATGGTATAGTAAACCTTTAGGTGACTGTCTGGAGATGTCGATCGATCCCAGGTCAACCTAGTCTACACTGGGCACCACCAGGAAATGTTCTAGGGAGGGGATTGATCTTTGACTGACCAGATCACCTGACTCGTTAGTCTTTACAGATAAGGAGCTAGCACCACATGGCCAACCCACCTCAACCCTGTTGCCCTGGAACATTAAACACCCTAACCTCCTGTGCAGGCGCAGGTAATAAAAAAGCTTTCTGTGAGACATTACTTTAGTGAAGTTAATAAGGTGACTGGTATGGGAAAATCAGATCAAGCTGGAAGTGTCAGGTTTGTGGCTTGTCACAGCTTCAGGGTTATGGCATGGAAACTAACATCCCCCCCCCCCTTTTCCTACATGCCTATATATATCTCAACATTGTCTCTCATCTGAACCTTCACTCACATGCTGCCTGAGTGTTCATGTTGATTGGGTACCAGTAAGGTTTTCCACCCTAAACAAACACTGATTGGCCTTTTTTTCATGATTGCTGACCTTTCACATGCACTAGTCTATGTTACAAGGGTGTCACCTTCTGTTGTCTTTGATGCTCTCACCTTTTAATACAGTGTCGTCAGACTTCAAGTAAGACAGGAATTTACTTCAAACCATGTGACATAGGCTGAGGCTGTGGGATAGGGGTTATGGCGAGTTCTGGGGTTGTTAAAAGCGGTCACATCGTGTAATACAGAATACGCGACATCACCTTTGGGATCATCGAAGTCAACACAGCGTGACACCCCTGTAACATTAGCACATGTCAAGGCCAACCAGTGTTGTTTAGGGCGGAGAACATTACTAGGACTATTGATTGAAATGATGTCACTATTATGATTGTTGTTGTACACTGTATCTCGACTTATTTTTACCAGTGTTGATGTTTCTCTACACATGCAGCTATTTTATGCAGGCTTAAGAAGTTGTTGAGGCCACTGGAATAGCATATAAATATATAACAGGGTTCATAGCCAAATTTACCAATCAATTTCAAGGCTTTTCAAGGTCTCCTTAGTTTTTTTCAGGGTTGTCTCGGAGTAAAACCGAAACAAGATTTTTGCTTTGTTCAAGGGTGTACCGAGCACACAAAGTACTTCATTTGTGCACACACATGTGGGTATACCAGCACAGAAATAGTGATTTTACATTTTTTGTAGACTTGGTGGTAGAGGGCAGCAAATTGAAGTCCTGTCTGTTCTGGACCTGGTACCTGAAAGGGGAAGGGGGAAGAGAGAGAGTCATACAAAGAGGGAAGAAGACATGCTGAGGTAGACTGGGAGAGACAGTGTAAATATGGACAGATGAAGGTAAAGGAAAGAAGTGAGACGAGACGAGGAAAAAAGATAATGCGAGGGAGGTATGTGACATCTGACCTACTTTTCAGGGGTGTTGAGATACCAAGTGCTGCAGTATTTATTTGATTCTTATTTTTGGCCTTCATAGTAAGTAGAGATCATGCCTTAAGGTGCATTGGGCATATGGGAAGAGCACCCATATTTTTAGAGACCAATCGGCACTAGGTGGGTAATGTCGTCAGCGTTACATCGACCACCTTCACATCCCCAGGACATATATCCTGGTACTCATTTCGAATCCAGCCTGGTATCTCAGAATTACAACCTGTGCTTGCAACAACTAAGCCACAGATGGTGACCTATGCTTCCTAGCGAAGTATATTGTGAAAGGCAAACTGCTGATAAGGGATATCACAGCCTAGCTGTAACTAGCATGTGGCCAGTGACCTCCTACGTGTGAGCCAGAAGAAGAGCTCTGCTGATTCAAGTTACTGACAGTAAAGACTAGCGTGGCTGTGTCATTCTCTCCAAGCATGCTTAAGATCTCTTCAGTCAATAAATGCAAGAACTGCCAAGGAGCTGATAGACCAGGGCAGCCAATGAGCAGAGAATTTTAGCCGTCAACTGTGAAAGTGGGCAGTTTTTTTTTTGGGGGGGGGGGGGGGGCGGGGGGCTTCTTTTTGGACAATTTTATTTGTATTCTTAGAGAGAGCATTTTAAAAAACTTTGCCTAATTGTCTGGAAAGCCAGTCTGCAACTGCATTGTGGAGTCATTTCAATTTACCACCTATTTAGTCAAAATTATACTGTATGCCATTTTTTTTTGTACTCTATATGTATGAAATAAGATTAATCGCTATTTTGTATGTAACAATGAATTCACAACCATGCTAAACTTTCGTGCTTTACCAGTTCTATTTGTAGATAGGGTGGTGCTGCCACAGCATAGTATGATCACCAGAATCTCAGATCAGTTTTTTTGGGGGGGACAGTGGGGGGGGGGGGTGTCTTGACCCCATCCATTTTGCATCCTTTGTCCTCTTGCTCCATCATATTTTGTCAGTTTTTACAAAATTCTCGAGATGATTTCTTCTTTGACTAGGCATGTCAGTTTGTTTTTTTTTTTTTTTTCAAAATCAGGCTTGGCTCCCAGGTCAACCCAAATCGAAAATGGGTACCCAGCCTAAATATCTCCGGCAGATGCACCCAGACTTCCAATAGAAAACAGCCCGAAATAGTTGCGTTTAACAACATTACTGTTATTGCAACACCCCCCCCCCCCCATCAAAGAGAAAACATTTGTTCGTCTAACCATAAAACCAAAAAGAGAAAACAAGTGTTCATCTAACCCTCAAATCAAAGAGAAAACAATTGTTCGTCTAACCATACAACCCTCAAAGAAAAAACAAGTGTTCGTCTAACTATACAACCCTCAAATCAAAGAGAAAACAAGTGTTCGCCTCTTTCAACTGATCTTTAATGACCTCTAACCCTTCCTTAAGCTGAAAAATAAACTGTATTCTGTGGCTTGAAGATCTCAGTAGTCGCAGGTGAAGTCTAGATAGTTGGAGTCAAAGTTATGCACACGAACGTAGCCATCCTCTCCACCACTGCTGTAGCTGTTGAATGGGATAGGAACACAAACCTGATGTTATAATTAATACCAGTTTTTACATTTAGGATACTGACAGACGTATAAAGAGCTGTCCAATAGATGTGATATCCAGCGTCTCCCAGATAACTGTTTAAGATAACAAAATCATCTTATGCAGTCCTGTCCCAAGTGGGTGCTGGTGTCCCATTTGGGAGGGGTTGTTTGGGAAGAGAATACACCCATTGCCCCCACCAACAAGCATGGAGGCCACTAATTATGGGTGTTTCCTCTGAAGTCTTGAGTGCATCTGCCTGAGATCAACCAACAGCCTGCACACAAAAAAGCCAGATCTGTAAAATGGATGTTCACATTCTGCAACAAGACCCAAGTCTTAAGTGGACAAACCAACCAGAACTTTCCGCCAGAGTTTACAGCCTGTCTGTGATTCTAATATTTACAAATTCTAGGACCACATTTAAGAAGAAAAAAAATTATGGCAGGCAGATGGAAACTAATAGGGCCTTCACAGTTCACAGACACTCAGGTAATCAGCCTTTACTTCCTAAAAGATTTTCCCAGTATCCATCTGAGGCTAGGCTGACCTGGAACTCAGGATTTTGTGTGTAATAAATTTCTGCCTCAGGGGATACAAGCTTGACTAACGACTGCACCACCATGATTCCTACTGACATCTTTCTATCCTTCTATCCGTCAATGAGTATGTGTGCATACATTAAAAACTTAAGTCTCCCCCACATACACACTAGCTCACTTCTGACTGGTAGTTTCTGAACCTGCCAAGTTACGGGAGTGTTCAGCAATGTCACTGATATCACATGCATATTTCATCACAGCCAGCGCTATCAACACTCCAAAATCATGGAGAAACGGGGTCTAACACAACAACACCCCCCAAAGTGCTGCAACTTATGTGTCACATGCATTCTCTTTCTCAGAATGAAAATGGCAAGACATCACAGAAAGCAAACAACAGAGCGGGACACACCCGTAACCTTCAGGAAAGTCGACCAGCCCAAAAAACTTGTGAATAAAAAGTTACCTACTCTATTTGTGGAGATTAACTTGAACCTAACCAAAACTATCTATATATTATTAGGGAAGCCACTGTGGTGTAGTGGCTGGACATGTGCCTGCGGATCAAAAGGTCGTGGGTACATATCCTAAGCTTCTTTAAAACTGACCTAATCTCCCAGGTCGACAGAGAATCAAATGCTTATCAAGTAAAGTCGTGGGAAGCAAAGGTGGCTGACATGATGCTGACCACAACACGCGCAGAAAAGGGTCCTTCCCATCAGAATATCATTTTCATGTCATTGTTCACATACAAGGTGATCTCTGTTTAGTGTCATGGGTTTTTTCAGTCGTCCACATCTTTTTTTCCTATCTGCTGGCCATCGGAGAGCTGTGCTTGCCAAAGTGTCATGAGGCATTCTGCAAACATGCCCTTCTTCTATGCTCAGGTCAGACCATCAGGTGGGCTGCCTCTATGAACTCCCATGTCAGCTAGAGTCATGGTCTCTCTACAGCTTGCTAGCCACACTTTGCTCTTGAGGCCAGGTTTCTTTGATGGTAGCTGAAAGCTGAGTGGGTAGGTCTGCAGAATGTACTGAGGTGTTTGTGGTCCTGTCTGATAGGCACACGGTGGGGACTAGTCTTTTATTTTATGCATGTTGAACCTACAGTGTCCTGCTCTTAGATTGAACCTACAGTGTCCAACTCTTAGACATGTCCAAGCCATTTCCATCTTCTTTCTTTGATAACATATTCCAGTGTTAAATTTATTCTCTCCCCTCTCAGTTCTTCTTCATTGGCCAACATATTTGTAGGATTCTTCTTAAAAATTCATTCTGAAAAGTCTCTCTAGTTTGGGTAAATTCTGCTGTCATTATCTACTCACTGTTGTATCATCATGTAACAGGTTCTTTGCAAAACATCGCTCCCATCACAGTCTGCCTGAAAGAAACCTAGTCTCTTGCCAGCTCTCCTGCTTCGTGTACTTTCATTTTCAAGGAGTCACTTACATCCTGAGCCCATCTCTGTGCTGTTTGATCCCTGCTCCTCCTTCCTGGTAATAAAACCTGCTATTATTTTTTCCAATCCTCTACAGCGCTTGATGAGGCCAAAATATTCAAGCTTCCGAGGCAAGATGCTGTGTATTAGCCAATCTTCCTTGATGCTAAGATTTGTTTACGTCAGTATTTCTTCTCTTCTTTATCCATGTATTTTGAGAATCTTTCTATAGCATTTCAGCTTAAAAGCACAATTTTTTTTTTCTTAAGGACTGGTAGATAACCCACAACTCACACCCGCATGTTGCCATAGGGAAGATGCATGCTCTCAAAATTGTTGTAGCACTGCCAAAAAGTTACTCTTGTATAACCTAAGGAAAAAATACAGTGTTGCTGAACAAACGTACCTCTTGCCATCTGGGTGAAATGCCAGACTGTTAATTGGACCAAAATGACCTTTCACTCTGCCAAACTCTTCTTCAAAGACCAGGTGAAAGAACCTGGCATCGAACTTGCCCACTCTAGTGCTGGTTGTGGTCACCTGCATGGCCTCTTGACCTCCGCCAAGCACCACCTAGCAGAAAATAACATTTAGTCAGAGGAATATATACTGACGTCACAAAATCAAAAATTAACGTTAAATAAACATTTAACCCTTACACCAGAAACACAATTCTTTAACAACATTCTTTTTAAAAAAGATCTTTACAGAGGTTGCAGAAATTTTTTTTTTTTTTTTTTTACTATTCATAAATACGAATGCAGCTGTACAAGGTGAACAAGAAGTTTATTTTGTACTTTTCTTGATGACAAAAGAATCCATCACTCGAGCCACCGGAGAAGTGAAAGACAGGTACAGAAAACTATGACACTGGGCTACAACCTGGTATCAGTGAGACAACAACAGAAGACAATGACAAAAGATGAGAAAGCAAAGAAATTACCTGGCCAGATGGATGCAGGGAGACAAAAACTTTGGAACTTATCCATGCTAGTTATCGCATCAGATAGTGAAACATGACAGTCTATGCTTACCAGCACAGCACATGATGATGGTGATGTGGCCAGCATATCTCTAGTCTTGTTCTTACATTTTCAAACCACTGTTCTCTAGTCTACAACAGTTCTCCAGCTTCTCTTTAGTCTAAAAAAATTATCCATGACATTTTCTCTAGTCTACAACAGTTCTCCAGCTTCTCTTTATTCTACAAAATCTCCCCATGACTTTTCTCTAGTCTACAACAGTTCTCCAGTTTCTCTTTATGACTTTTCTCTAGTCCCTGACATCTCTAAAGTTTACTTCTCTTTATTCTCCATGACTTTTTTACAGTTCCCATTCCTTTATTCTATAAAATCTCCCCACTCTCTAGTCCTCAACAATTTCTATTTAGTCATCCCCATGACTTTTTCCATCTCCTTCTCCTTACAGTTTTACCCTGCCTCGAACTAGTCAATTTCATCTAGTCATCCACATTTCCACCCTTCTCCTACAACCCTGCGAACAGTCTCTGTCAGTGGTCACTTATTTCTGTCTGTGTGTGTGTGGTGATGACCAGTATCCGTTTTCCATCAGCACCAGGGCTTGTTGCTAAACCAAAACCATTATTCAGTCCAAATTTCCAACTTCACCACAAACAGGTCAATCCATAAGTGCTCCGCTCTTGTGCCAGTGAAAACCATCAAAAACACTTCTCGCTGCCCCATGTGACAATCAGACAGCAGTCCCAGCGGAATCCACCTTGTGTAAATATCAAATGAATAAGTAAGGTGCCAACATAAAAAGCATCTCACTAGACTTGTTATTTATAGTTGATGGAAGCAAACAGCTTTGACCAACCAGCAGATGCACAAGCATTACTGCATAAGGCACACTGCCAGTTTTGTGACAAGCAGTCACTCGCCATTTTCTGAAAATGCAGTTTATAACTCAGACAATAAGCATTTACTGCAAAATTCACAGCTCACAGTGTCGCACTATGCACTGACTCAGTAGCTGGCTGATGGACTCAGTTTTGACCTTTACCCTGTTTATTGTTCCATTCAGTTTCCCAAAGAGGGTTAACACCCCAACCTTCCACTGGATTACCACATGAAGGCGAGGTAGGCTTGAGTAAGAGTGGCTCACAAGAAGACACTAAGAATCTTGTACAGCGCATCATTACTCAGGGCCCTATACAACAATCAATAACCTGAAAGTGGACGACGTATGAAACAATAACTTACATGATCATGGAGGGGAGAGATGGCTGCAGAGTTGACTGGCCTCTCTGTCTTGTACGTCTTCAATGGCTCTAGACTGTCCATATCAAACAGCTGAGGAGCACAGAAGCATATCAGTCAAAAGGAAGTGTTAACAATCAATCACACAGCAAACATTTGATTTTTGGCTAATCTTTGATAAACAACCCTCATCTATATTTGTGGGAGCCACAGTGATGTAGCAGCTAGACATTGACCTGTGCATCCAAAGGTTGTGGGTGTTTTAGGTCCTATTGAGGCAGAACTTTTTTCAAAAATGACTGGCAGGGGCCGTTTCATTATTATATCTGCGGCTCATACTAATCAGCGATATGAACCCCATTATTACATCTGCGGCTCATACTAATCAGCGATATGAACCCCATTATTACATCTGCGGCTCATACTAATCAGCGATATGAACCCCATTATTACATCTGCGGCTCATACTAATCAGCGATATTACCTTTAAGCAAAGGGTCTTTAAAAAAATATGACCCAGTTAGAATTCCAGAAAATAATATGGAAAAAAAATGTACACAGGAGACTAACGAATTCATTAAAATGTATCTACTACTTGAGTCAGCCATGGCTTTTGTTAACAGTGATGATGAGGGATTAAAAAAAAAACGTGTAAGTCGACAAGTGAAGACAGATAAATATAAGAGCATATATTAAAAAAAAAACAGTCAGTAAAAACTAACATTCAGCACTGAAGGAATATGTCCGTCCCATCAGGCCTTAAAATAACACATGTGTATCAGGTAACTTTTGCTGTGACCTCTATCACTGAAGCTTATGAGAAAATCTGTCAACTTGACTTTAGAAAATCTTTTTTTTTTAGTTAATGTATTCATAGCCTGACCGTCTGTGCAAAACCTCAGGCAATAGAGGACAGGTTCAACCAAGACCAGTTCCAGCTAACAGACCATGCAGCTGACATCACCAATCCAGGCTAACAAAGCATTTCTCAAAGCCTTAAAGTGGTTTTAATGCTTAAGAAAAGAAGATATTGCCACAGCCCTCAGATTAAGAATCTCAATTCAACCATCTGCTTCCTCCTTTGCCCCTCAATGCAGCAAAGGTCCCTCAATGCAGCAAAGGTCCCTCAATGCAGCAAAGGTCCTGAATCAACTCCAAACTTTGCTGAGGCAAGGAACTAGAGTCTGTATACAAACAAGCCAGATGTGTGAAACAGATGTACAAAGTTCTGGAACAAGGCTAACGTCCGGAAGTGGATGAACACCCAGAATTTTCTGCATAATTTATAGTCGGTAAATGCAAAGAAGAAGAAAACAGCGTAAAAGCATCAGGTTATGTTCAAGATGCTGACCACACCATGTGTCGATCAGTCTATCAAAATGTTCAGTATCATACACTGGATGTGCCACTGGTGTAGCGGTACCTTCATGAGCTACTTCTTATGTTTCTAATACCAACTTAGAGGGGTTACTTGCTGCCTGGGCAACAGCCTGTACTCTAATTCAACACACCCAGCCTGTGCCCTGGAGAGGTAACCCCAGCGTCGCTTAACACCTTCAAAATATCACAGGAAGCAGCGGTCACCGGTTTTAAGCCTGTGCACAATTGGTGTAGAGCAAAGGTGCCAGGGGTTGCTTCCGACAGTGGGATAGATGGTAATCTCATTGGACAGCTACTGCCTGTCTCAGCTGGGCAGGTACCATGCCTCGAATGAGTCAAAAACTTGACATCACAGCACCCAGGAATTCCCATAAGTGCTCAGTCCCCCACCTCAGCGGCCAACAAAGTTCCCATACTGATGAAGCCAGCAGCAACCCCAATAAAAGTTTGTCTTTTCTCTCTCCGCTCACTCCCAGTGCAATCATTTGTTTACATATTAGGTCTTCTGTCTGTTCTACAGCACCCTTTATAACAGAGAGCATCCACCTTGTCTGCTTTGACCTACTTTAGGCCTATGGTGTCATTAAAAGATATCAAACCTACTGAAAAGCAGAATCAGTCCGTTTCCAATTTCACAAACCAGCGACAAGGGTCGTAACTCAAACATATTAAATGTCCTCCAGATCAAGAAGTTTTTTTTTTTTAAAAGATGAGACCTAGCACAAAATGTGAACCAACAATGGGCCCAAGGAATTTACTGGGGTGTAAAGGCAACCAGTGCAACACTGTTTCTATTATCCACTGAATGCCAACTGGTCTCATAATATGAAGCAATGGGCTTCCATGCTGATCCACCCTAAATTTGGCACATGGAAATGTCCAGGGTAGCAAAGGCATCTGACATGTTGACAGCATCACAAATCTAAAGCCAGGGGGGTCTAGAAAAAGTCGGGCTAGCACCATATTTTGAATGCATAGTGGCACACCTCACATTCCCAAACCTCATAATGCCCTCTGAACCTCATATGCCTCCAAACCTTACAGAATCTCTGAACCGCATATCACCAAACCTCTTATCTCTGAACCCCAATGCTCTTATATGGGTAATATCACCAAATTAATACCTCTAAACCCCCATATTATCTCCAAAGTCCATCCATATTATCTCCAAAGACCATATTATCTCTAAACCCCCACATTATCTCCAAAAACCATATCTCCAAATCCATATTATCTCCAAAAGACCATATTATCTCCAAACCCCATAATATCTCCAAAGCTCATAATAGCTTCATATCTCCAAACCCCAGAATGCCCCCTAGATCACCATGTATCTAGAGAGAGGCTTACCCTGGCTGTGTTGTCCTTGGATGCAGTGATGAACATGGTCTGATCCTTGTAGGGCTGGATGTCATTGATCTGCTTGGTGTGGTCCTTGCAGCCCTTGATACGCTGTCCCGTCTGACCACCGGAATACACACACACACACAAAGATTTAAATGAGGAAAATAAAAAGTACAAAATCCAAATGATTCATGACAATTTCCGCCCAAGTGATGTGATTATCTAAACAAATAGCTCTGTGTTGAGGGGCAGACAAAGTGCATGGGGTTTCATAGCAAAGGTGAATGGACGTCACCTAGTGCAGCAAAGCCTTGCATGACATCACAACATCCCTTGCATGACATCACAACATCCCTAGCATGACATCACAACATCTATTTGAGAATGGAGGTAGAAGCAGTTTCTGTTGCTTTCCACTGGCTTGAAAATCAGCTGTACACACATACCGTGATTGTAACTGACTCACAGAGCATGTTGAGAAAGGTGGAGACAGGTATGCTTTGTGCAGAGTGGCAAGCAGCACTTCAGAGGTCCCAGGTAGTTAGCATCCTTTGTGTATTTCTCCAGGTCACGCCAGTGTGTTAGATATTGTGAGGACCCTTCAGGAACAAGTGAACAGCGCAGAGGCGGAGATAGATCATTACGGTCTAAGGAAAATGGCGCTGCAAGGAGTTACCAGGGGAAGGATGAGACAGATGTACAATTAGAGTTACTGGTGCCATTAGAACTCTTAGCTTGCTGCTGAAGATGGGGACGGAGCACTTATGGGAGTATCCCTAATACTGTAATGTAGATTTTTAATTCAACAACCAAAATTCACAACTATAAAAAGTGTTAGAGAAGTTCCAAATAACACCACTATGCTGCAGTAAATCATGTGCCTAAATGTCACTTTTGTGTAATTTCAACTAGTCTTGTTTGATTTTGGAATCGAGAGTAATTTTATGTCTTATATCCCAATTTGTCCACCCCCCCCCCATTATGGGGAAAACAAGAACTGGCTTACTTGTATGTTGTTTTCTCGCCTCTCATGCAGATGCTCTGACTCGGAAGGAAACACCCATAATTAGCTCCCCCCCAACATGCCTGATAGGAGGCGGTGGGTCTATTTTTTTCTTTAAAAAGTGAACAGCTTGTTTTAGTTAGCTGTGGTGTTGTGGTGTTGAGAAAAAAAAAGGTCTCCCTTGAAATTCTGATGGACCACGGAGGTGCTAAACTACACATGGTGGTGTTCCTGGGCTCCTGCTAGTCAACAGCTGCCTAAAGAGGTCATCCTATAAAAACATGTTCCCAACCAGCAGAGCTAGGATTCAAATTTCCTTCAAAGTGCATCTGCCGGAGAGGTGAGGAACCAACAGCCTGTATACAAATAAGCCACATTTGTAAAACAGATGTGCCCACCCAAAACTCGAGCCCTGGAACCAAAAGTTCACAAGCTGACAAATAACCAGGACTTTCTGCCGAGGATTACAGACAGTGAACCCGAAGAATACCAGTAGATAGTGGCTCTACCACATAGAGCACTATCACTCAGACACAATCAAAACAGAACTAGAGGTAGACCACGCAAGCGATGGGCAGATGGAATATCTGAGGCCGCAAATGCCAGCTTCAAGTATCAAGTCTCAAACCCAATGCCTCTTCAAAACCTGACACTGAAAGTGACCAGAGAAGAAAAAAAAAGAAACACAAAGAAGATAATATCCTGCTTTGACACGCATGCAACCGCTATGGCGACTCTCTTACTGGTATAATTAACCAGAAAATCATAATTTAATAGGACAAATTAACATTACTTAAACCATTGTTGGGCCAAAGGGCAAAAGCTCATGCGCCGCTGGATCGATAACAACAAAAAACCATTGCAAGCAAAATTCAAAATGTACTCATGCATGTTCTTTAGAACATAACACAATGATATGTGTTTTCAAAACAACGGTAGTTACATAGAACATAGTATATAAATAAACAATGTTTTCAAAACAATTTAAGTTATATGGAGCATATTATTTGAATAAACAATTTTACAAACCAAACATTCGATCGTTGGGCAGGGGGGGTGGGTGTAATGCTGTTAAAATGGCTTTGCTAAACAGCACGGACTGTGGGTCACACCTGGCTATCATATCTTCTTTAGAGGTTGAACAAGTTATCTGGGGATTTACTTTCTTGACCTGCCATCCAGAAAGAGATTTTGTGATCTCAATGTGTCATCAAACCTTTAGCCAGCAGACCATGTGGGATAAGCGGCACAGTATCATCAAGTGCCATGCCTCTCCACAATCTGCCTGTGTCAGTCTCTGAGTTAAAATTCAGCCCTGCTATGACAACAGGCGGCTGTCAAGAATCATCTCACAATATCTTCCATTGTCTCTTTTTCCTCTCTTCACAACATGGCCCAGTTGATTTTCTCTCATTACATGATACAAATTTGCAACTGTATCTTTCTGATGTTTGCGATAAGTCGTCTTTGAGCCCTTGCCTCTATCAAAACATCTAGACTGCTCCCTTTGGCTGCCCAAAAAGCTGTGAACACGCATTTTAAACCCACTGTCTTGTCTGTACAACAAAACACAAACCTAGTTCATCCCTGATGTCATATATCAAGACCTCAAAGGGGAAGCCCACTGTTTTGTCTGTACAACAAAACACAAACCTAGTCATCCCTGATGTCATATATCAAGACCTCAAAGGGGAAGCCCACTGTTTTGTCTGTACAACAAAACACAAACCTAGTTCATCCCTGATGTTATATATCAAGACCTCAAAGGGGAAGCCCACTGTTTTGTCTGTACAACAAAACACAAACCTAGTCATCCCTGATGTCATATATCAAGACCTCACATTGGAAGCCCATTGTCTTGTCTGTACAACAAAACACAAACCTAGTTCATCCCTGATGTCATATATCAAGACCTCACAGGGAAAGCCCATGGTCTTGTCTGTACTGTACATGATGAGGTTACCGCTGAAAGAGAATCCATTGGTTCTGACGGCCGTGTTGGTCTCCACGGAACTGATCTGTGAGCCTGTGGAGAGACAAAAAGATGCATGTTTCTGACAATAATGGTTAAAAGTCATACAAAGTTAAAGTCCAGAGAATGGACATCCATGCACCTGGTTTATCTGATATGGTATGGTCTTCTGATCACCCCACATCTGAAAAAGACTAGGTATGTGATTTCACTCACAAGAGATCAGAAGATCAACTGACACAGTTGTTCTTAAAAGAATGTGCAGACCTGTATCAGAATCTGAACCAGGCAACTTGTGAACTTGAGATGGACATTTATGCACCTGGTTTTATCTGATATGGCTTGGCCTTCTGATCATCCCACATCTGGAAAGACTAGGTATATGATTTCACTCCCAAGAGATCAGAAAATTAACTGTCATAATCCAACTGTTCCTAAAGGAATGAACAGACCTGTATCAGAATCTAAACCAGGCAACCTGAGGTGGACATCAAAACCTCCCTGCCACAAGACATCTGCTTCTGAAATAAATTCTCTGAGTGACTCAACAGCTGAAGCCATCAAGCCATGTGCAGAGTCTATTAACACCAGTGTTTCCCAACATGGCGCCCATGCCTTATAAGGCAATTTGATTGGGGAAGGAAATTGAAACTCATCCAGAGTTTAAGTTAACCGCATGGTGATGTTACACAGGGGCATAAAAATTTTTTTTTTTAGAAAAGCTTAGGTCGGGACACGGCGTAGCGCAGAATAGTTTGGGAAACATTGATGTACACCATCTCATATGTAACCCTAATTCAGCTCTGTAATCTAGTTAAGTTGAACCCCACAGTCAGCGTTCAACACCTGGTGATGCAATGTGCGTCAAGATCTTGATAGCAAGTGCTTAATTAAAAACCTTAGTGGATCAGTCAGTTATGATGGTTTGGACATGTATGCAGAATTGCAGAAAATCATCCACTATGGCAGACATGGGAGGCTAAGAACCAGGGAACCAGACTTCTAGGGAACGCTGGGAAGACAACATCTGACAGTCCCTAACTGAAAGAGGACTGAAATGGAGAAAAGCCAAAAAAAACTGCTGATAGAGACGTCCAGCAATCTTTCTGGCAAACCTCTACACCCTATAATAGCAGTGACTAAGTAAGTTAGTCAGATGCAATGTGCAAAGGGTCACTCTTCGAATGAGAACCCCTCAGGTACAAATTCCAGACACACAGTTCAACCATGAGGTTATACTGCCCCCCCCCCCCCCCCACCCTACAAGTGGTACAAAGTAACCGGAAGTCCAGACATGGTGAGGCAAAACTGACATGGTTTTCCCGTTTTAAATTTAAATAATTCAGACATACACAATACACTGCACAATTTACTTCTTGTCATATTTCACAGTATCTTGTCAGGTGCGTCAATTCAAAGCTACATCAACTTATAATAAAGCTCAAAACATGAATCCTACATCAATAACGACAACATCATTACCTGTCTCACAGTCCCAGAGTTTGCAGGTGTTGTCGGCAGCTCCTGTCAGAACTTTTGTTGAGTCCCCTGTTGCTGGGTTAAGGTCTTTCACAAAAGAAATTTTTCCTCCAAACCTAGTCACTTTTGTCCAAAACATAGACATTCCACCCCCTTTTCCCCCCAAACCTAGGAATTTTCTCCAGACCTGGAAAGAAACTGACATGCTCATTAAGTGGCCTTCCTGTTGTCTTTCATCACGATTCTGTGGTGCCGTTATACAACAAAGAGGACTTGCAGCTAATTCTTCCATTCCACTCTTCTGCATTTATCCATTCCTTCTATCCTGTGCATTTTTTCAACATGATGGATGGAATCTAGCACAACAACTTTGGCCTTTCCCAACAACATTGAATGGTGTTTCTTTTAGACATTCTAATTTCCTCAATCCATTAAGTGCCTGTTTTGTGATTTTCTGCTGGCTTCTTCTCATGATGTGCTCAACATAATGCTATCTTCTTTGACTTATAACAATCCATACTAGATTGAAACCAACTTCACAACCTTAAGAAAGCAAGTGAAATGTCTTATGTGCTCAACATGATGCTTTCTTCTTGACTTATAACTATCCATACTAGATTGAAACCAGAAAAAGTGCAGTGTGACCAACATCCGTCCACTTTAGCTGTAAATTCCAGCAAAAGGTTCTAGTTGTTCACCCACCCCACTTCTGGAGTTTACTAGTCTTGTGCGAACTCCTGATTTACAGATATAGCTTATTTGTGTGCAGACTGATGGTTCACCTCTCTGACACAGTGCAATTTGTTGTGACTAAGACTAAGACATTATTATAAATGTGTACCCAAGAAAGGTGGCTGCGTACACACATTTTTTTTCCTCCAAGACTCGCTTCACTATCTCTCAATGACAAACAATGTTTCAACTAAGACAGAGCACAACAGACTTCAAAAACGGGTTCTAGTACATATGTCGAACAAGGAGATGTACCCCTGCAACCTGGTACCTGAAAATGCTGAGCATGTACTCCAACACTATCAACTACACTGCTGAGGAAAAAAACATCTTTTCGGTTTCCATCTGAATGAAGTCAAAACTCTATGATACACAGGGAGATCTGGACTGCATGATAGTTTTCATCAAGGCTACTGGCCTCCTGATATAAGTTTTTCTGACAGAAGAATCAAAGCAGAAGCCTAGGAAAACCACAACAGCCAAAAAATGATAGGGTTGGTTCTGCGACGTCCTGTACAGGATACGCAACTAACTTTTAACAAGCAGAAGACAGAGAAAGAAGGCAGGTTTTGTGTGCTAGTTCTTCCACCAATACATCTCCTCAACTCTAACAGGTCAAGGGTCATGTTATGTTTGGAAGGATACAGCTACAGTCGATGCACCACACAGCTCCGTTGTGTCCGACAAATGTGCCCAACCGTTCTCCGTTGAGTGAGTACCAGACATTAGGCTGAGGGTCTTTGGCACATGAAAAGATGAGATCTCCCTCCCTGTTGTACTTGATCTGTGTGATGGACCGTTCATGGCCATGAAGCATAATAGGTTTCTGAAAGACAAAACAGGTATAGATGTACAAACTTCAAGCCTGGGTGTGTGTCAGTGTGTACATAATAGGTGTCTGAAAATCAAATAAGGTATAGATGTACGAACTCTAAGCCTGGTTGTGTGTCAGTGTGTACATAATAGGTGTCTGAAAATCAAATAAGGTATAGATGTACAAACTCTACGTCTGGGTCTGTGTCAGTGTGTACATTGTAGGTTTCTGAAAAACAAACAAGGTACAGATGTGAAAACTTCAAGCCTGATGTGTGCCTACAGAAACAAAAGATTATGTTGTATTTTCATGATACATATTAAGACAAACACATATCATAACGAAAACATAAACTATCACACAACAGTTTTGGACAGTGTGAATGAAAAGAAAGATTTTGAAAGAAATGGAAAAAAAAAAAGAGACAATCAAAATATTTTCACCGCACCAAACAAAACATGAATGATCAAAATCATACTGGAAGAAAAAAGTTGCGGAGGCAGGTGAAGAAGATGTACACAAGTAATAGATGTGGGAGGATGATGTTAGGATATAGAAGACCAGCAATCAAAGAAATCTACTCTGTGTGTGCGCGCGCCCACGCAAAAGCCTGTGTTTGTTCATGCACACACATGTACAGATAACTCATTCCAACATTTTCCTCACTACACATCTGGCATAACCATAACTGCTGTGATTGTCTCCAAAGCATGTTTTTTTTAAATTTTGTTTAGGTTGACAACTCCTATTCTGTACTGTGTGGTCTTGCATCGTTTTCTCCGGTGGCATCTCTCATATAGTATTGATTATGTACTCTGCTCACTAGTCACTGGAGATCTACTTCTAAGGTGACCCCACATGCAGGGGCATCCACTCTTATTTACCTTTCACACCAACCAACATAACCTTGGAGAAAGATCAAGGTGACGGTACAAAGAATAGTAATACATATATACACCCACAAACTTTATTTGTCTCTAAATGTTTGTAATTTCAACAACAAAAAACAGACATCAGTAGCTTCCTTTGTGTGGTGCAATATAGTATGACAACATCAAGAAATTGACAGGACAAGAGTCCAAATTACAATGCATTTGTTTAAAAAAAAAAAAAGTACCATCACAACCTTCACCCAGGAAGATCTTCTGCCTGTCCAGGCCAGCTCTCTATTTGTCAAAGACAGTTGTCTGGGGAAGCCTGGCCTTCACATGCTTCCCAAGATACATAAACCGGACAACCCAGGTAGACTGATCGTGTCCGTCTTCCATTGTCCCACAGAGCTCATATCCGTGTTCTCAACCGTATTTTGCAGCCCCTGGTCATTTATCTCCCGTCTTACATCAAAGATATCAACCATGCTATCTCTATCTTTTAATCTATCCGGTTCACCTCGTCTTCCAGGTACCACATCTTCACCTTAGATGTTACTTCCCTCTACACCTCTATTCCACATTCAGATGGCCTCCAGGCTTTGTGGTTTTTTCTAGATCAGAGTCAGTCCTGCCATAACCACTGACCCCTTGTATTTCAACTTAGATCAGCGGCGTCGCTATGGGGAGGAAAGACAGAACCCAGCTATGCCTGCCTCTTCATGGGCACTTTGAGCATCAGATACGTCATGCATATAACGGTAGGCTCCCCGAGCTCTACAGGAGGTATATCGATGATTGCATCGGTGTCACGGGTATGCCCCTACCTGAACTGCAGAACTTTATTCATTTTTTTTCTAAATTTCATCCCAGCATCAGAAGCACTTCTAGCATCTCACTTTCATCGGTGCATTTTCTGGATCTCACTGTTACAGTGAACTCTATAGGCCTCAGCACCTCGGTTTACTATAAGCCTTCTGATTCCCACGTTTTTTTACTCTACACATTCACCATCTTGCAAGGACTCAATTCCATTCTCCCAACTTCTACCCCTCCTTAGACTATGCCAGGAGAACGGTGACTTTCACAACAAGGCCCTGGATATGCTCGATTTCTTCCAGTCGATACCTTCGAGGGTATCCTGAACATGTCCTATCTGCCACCTTTTACAGCACATGGTCTTTCCATCGTGCCGAGGCTCTCGTTTTCAAGCCTAAATGTCACAACAGATCTATCCTCATACTTAGCTACCACCCTCACATCTGCACCAAAAATATGTTCCTCAGGCATCTCTCTATCCTTAAAGCTAACCCAGCCACCAGCATGATTTTCTCTGAACCTCCTCAAGTGGCCTACAGGCATGACTGTAACCTCTAGGACATTCTAGTCAAGAGTCAGTTACGTCCCGCGTCAGGGTCCCACTTCGGCATTGTCTCTTGCTTCAGACCTGTATGCAGGACCTGTCCATATGTGGTCCAGGTGACAAGTCTAGAATTCCTGAACGCGACCTTCCACATACGTGAAGCATTCTATTGTACAAGCCGTAATGTCATTTATCCCATCAACTGCAAGAGATGTGGCATGAAAAACATTGGTGAAACAGGTCTACGGCTGGCTGACAGGTTCAGACATCTTTTGGATGTGCAAAATGGTGCCCTGAAACCAGTGCCGTTGCACTTCAATTCCTAGGATCACCAAGGTGTCCTCGACATGGAGGTGACAGCCATTTCAATCTAGCCATTCCAGCGACAGAGTAAAGAAGTCTCCTGAGAATCGCTGTGCTTTATTTACACTTTGGGGACTTTAACACCCTCAGGACTGAACTGCTAACAGTTTTATTTAAACTCCTAGAGGATTTAACTGCCCTCAAAGCATTATATCTCTAACCCCCTAGTTATTGCCCCTGGTACTCAATAGGGGGTATTTATTCCCCCAGCCCATGCGTGTAGGCATTCTGCTGAGAATCCATCAACCCGGCAGCTTCAAGATATCAGTTAAGTGATTTTGTGTAGTATTGTTTAATTTGTATATGCTGATGAAGGCTTCACAGCCGCTACGTTTTGTTTGTATCTGTTATATGTGAAGCTTGCTAATATACATTTTGTTTGTTTTTTATACCTTTTCTTAATATTTGTTAGTTTAACAAGTGGAATATGGTGTGTTTTGTGTGCCAGTGCTTTCATCGACACACCTCCATGATGAGTCAAGGGTTATGTATTGTTATAGGTAAAGTGCAACAGTAACAGTGAGTAACTGTGTGTAACACACCACTTGTTACTGTAACACTAGAAAACTTTTTAGCTCTCTTCCGAACTTCTACCCGATATTATAAAGGCAAACAGCCTAACGGGGCCTCAGTCGTCTGTAAAATGCGGACTTTCTGCCAAGGAACAAATCGCTACAAAACTACAACAACGCTGCTAATCTGTCATGCACGTGATGGTCTCGAAATTGTCAATGGTCGCTATTATCGTCTGCTAATATTGTCTGCAGAGACGCTTTAAATTGTAAAGTCGCTATTAACGTCTGCAGTCTTGCGTCTCTTGAAATTGTCAAGTATCTTAAATTTTGCCACGATTTGTTCCTTGGCAGAAAGTCCGCATTTTACACACGACTGAGGCCCTGTTAGGTTATTTGCTTGGCCGCCATAATATCAGGTAGAAGTTCGGAGGAGAGCCAAATTTTTTTGTTTTGCATAGACAGTCTCATGAAGTTCATTGGCATATTATTTTCAACCGTTACAAACCTGCTGGCAAACCAAATTTTAAAATTCTTATCATTGGGAAATGTCGGCTGGGGTTTCGACAATTTGCGGTCCTTTTTAATCTCTCATGAAATTTTGTGATTGGTGTGTCGGCTGGGGTTTTCACCAGCTCATGAATAGCTGAAAACTGCGGGAACGAACCGGGAACCCGATTAACAGCGCATGTCTACGACAGCCGGACGTCCTCTTTTTTTCTGTTACAGCAGTTTGATTGAAAATAGAGCTAAATTTAAGGAAGGCTTTAGGCCTTAAATATTACCAGACATGGTAATGCTAGTTATAATTGAATTCTCCGTCCAATTTTATATTTGTGTATAAAATTTCTTTCTTATCTGTGGCTATTTCGATTTACAGTGACATTTTTCTGGCTGTGTCTGAGAAAATTTGTCTGCCATCTTGTCCAATGAAAACAAAGCCAAAACGAAAGTGCGCATTTTGGTTGCGCAGAGAAAGCTTCTTGTTTCTGAGACGCAAGTTTTTAACAGCTGTTTTTTTACATATCTCCACAAAAACCTACATATCTCAGCTCAGAAATGACATACAAGCATAAATGAGGTACCATTGGAAAGAGATTGTTTACAGCTATCTAACTGTGCTGGCTTTATTAGGGTAGAGAGAGGGCATTTTAAAAATTTGACTAAGTGTCTAAAGTACCTATGTTGTGCAATCTTGGATCCGAGTCTCTACGTTCCCTTTTTTCTGCACTTACTCTTAAGGACAGGTTAAAACGCTGTATTGTGTTTTACGTCTAGGATGCGATGTCTGTGTCTTTCGGCCCAAGAGTTGAGTACACAGCTTATTATCGGTCGTATCATTTTATCAGCTCACCTCTAATCTTGCAAATGATGATCACAGCGATGAATTTAATTACACTAATTAAATTAAACAAGTCACTGATCAAGGATTCACGGTATAGCGTGTTTTAAGCGGTTATATGAAAATGAAATTAATGGACACTTATGACTGTTGACACAAAAATGTTCGTACCATTTTCTGTTTGCTGGAAACTTTTCCCTTTTCTACAAAATATAAACACGAGACTCAAAACTGTCGTAATTTCAGCGTGCTTGTCAGACGGAAATAGTGATAGTCTTGCCGGAAGTACACGTTTATTACTGCCAGATTTTTCAGAGACATTGGCTGTGTGGGTTTTTTTTTCCTCCTCCTTCTCTTGTGCCCTTTCACTGGTTAGTTAGTTAGTTAGTTAGGAGTGATGTGGATTCACTGCCACCAAAGTCGTCTATCCTTCCCATTTCTCTGAGGGCATTGATAATATCAGCATGATCCATGCTGAAACTTCCTTTCACTGGTTTCAGACGAAATCTGCCTGTATTCCATAGTTGTGGATTCAAGCTGTACGATAGATTTGGCTATTAAAGATGCTCCCAAAAAATTGGGGGTGGGGGGGGGGGGAGACGCCTAGTTGGTCACGCGTCAGGGAACAGTTGTATTTGAGTCGAGGTGTGTTCGTTGTTTGAAGGTGACAGGTTGATTCCTGGCAAGATAACAGTAGCTTTTGATATGTTTGTTGTCTAGTGTGTCCGTCTATCTTTCTATTAATTCCTATAATTACATTGTCTGTTTGTTTATGATATGTAATGTTCCTACGACCCGAAAGTTCATCATCTATTTCTTCTTCATCATACGAGCCCTTGAGGTCCAATCTTTCAGGTATCCCCCCCCCCCACCCCACCACCACCATTCATCTAGGGAGATTGTGAGCTTCAGAGTTAGTATACAAAATATAAACAATGAAATAAATAAAATATTAAATGCTGGAAAATTAACACTAATAATCAAAATTCTTTTGCAAACAATTTTTTAGAAAACTTTTTGAATAAACTCAACACACAAAGAGACATTGATATGTTACAAGTAAACTTTATAAATATAGGCATACAAACAGGTCGGTGGTTTTACCTATACGATAAACAGGGAGCAAGTAGAATGTGTTTAAATTTAAAAAATTGGCAATAGAAATTATCAGTCTATGCAGCACCCATGGGAACATTATAACTCACCAAATTGTTGTTGAAATGGATATCATAGACTA